TGATCATTTTGTCACTACAAGGTATGTTCTTTTTTGTGATGGCAGAATATCCAATGTAACACAAGGGAATGCAGTGATTTCTGCTTGTCCTATATTTTATCTTTTAATCCAAGATTAACCCAAAAAAAGCTAATGTGGCCTATTTAGTAATAACTAAAGCTTCAATGTAATGAAATATGATTTACACTATAAGTAAAATTAATCTTCACCTTAATTAATCCTGCAGAAAAATGCTATTTTCTATAAACAAAATAATCTTTGAGAAATCAGCTTTATATTATACCTTTCTATATAATTCTTTCAAAGGGGCATTTCATTAATCTTGGTGCCAATAAAGTAGATTTTTATTTTACCTGGTATAAGTCAGGAGATTAATAGAATAGAATCATTAAAAATACCTGAAACCACTGATTTTTTTTTTTTTTTGCTCTCTTGAAGCAAGCAGAACACAAGATTTTCCCTAACATATTTCTGGAAACCTATTGATTAAAGTATCTGAACAATTGTAAAATGAAAAAACCTGTATATAATATAGTAAATGATGTTAAAAGACATTAAACTTTGCTTACCATCTCGAATCCAGAGAGGTTAACTGAGAGAAACTAGAGCTAAATACTAAAATAAGAACAGAACTCAAAGTCAGGTTAAACCCAGATTTCCCAATTCATTCTGCTTCAAAAATCAATAAAGTTTATGAAATTCTAGAAGTGCTGCCTCATTCTAGTTCTTGACTTTGTTTTCTACTCAAGTTTAATTTTAGGGAGAAAAGGGTTAAAAAATTTTAAAATAAGGATGGAAGAATTTAAAGATATTTTGTCAGATCTCTATCAGTTCAGCTTTTCATGTAGAATATTTCAAATAAACCACCACAAAACTGTTTAAAGAAAACAATAAAGATAGGAAATCCATGATAATGATTTATTTTTGTTTCTTTATTCCTGTTGATCAGAAATATAATCTTTTATGTAATTAGCTGGTTTAGTAACCTAATACCATTGTGCTATGAACTTTATCAGTCTGCTCCGGAGTCCCCATTTGTTTGTCAATCATAAATTTGCTACTAACAACAGCTCTATGCATCATAAAAATAACCCTTGCATCTGGTCAGCTTAAAGGGCAAACTTGTGGCTAGAGAGACAGGCTGGCAGGCAGGGCTCCTGCCATGCACTGGGCATGCAGACCTTGCCCCGGGCACATCATAGAGCCAACTCCCAACCCTGTCAGGAGCGACCCCCGAGTGCAGAGTCAGGAGTCAGCCCTAAGCTCCACTGGGTGCACCCACCCCCCAAAACAGCGGGGACGTAGTGAAGTAGCTAAGTTAAATTTCTGTGTGCGTATATATATGTGTGTGTATACGTATATACATATATATAATAGATATTTTTTGCAGTATCAGGGCTCAAAGCCAGGGTTTCATATAAGTGAGAGTCAAGCTCTACCACTGAGCTACATTTCTAACTATATATATATATATACATATACATACATATATATATATATATTTTGGTTTTTGGGTCACACTCAGCAATGCTCAGGGGTTACTCCTGGCGGTGCTTGGGGAAACCACATGGGATGCCGGGGATCGAACCTGGGCTGGCCACATGCAAGGTAAACGCTCTACCCGCTATACTATTGCTCCAGCCCTCCAACAGTATTTTTGTTAAAGGAATATTTTTGCTTTGCTTTTGTTTTGGAGCGACATTGGCAGTGCTCATAGGGGCCCAGGTGCAGGGATCATACCAGGGTCAACTATGCAAGGCAAACAACTTATCTCTCTAGCTCTTGAGAGATTCTTTTTTTAAAGTCAACCTACAAAAGTACAAAAGTCTGGAAGGCGGTGTTCTCTTTGCACTAATATGAACCGTCACATTCTGTCTGGACACACTAATCAATTACCCAGAGCCTGATTTACATGAGGCCAAAGCTGAAAAAAACAGGTGAGCTTTGGAGTGAGTGTCTCAGCACACACCCTGTGTTGCTGAGTCTCAGGAAGGCACCAGGAGCCCCCATCACCCGAAGGTCTAACCTCTCCGTCCCGGGTCCCAGTGAGTGATTTAATCCTAAGCCTGAGCCTTAGGGATGTGTGATGGGAAGGACAGAGCAAAGTCCTTCACACCGGCCTCTGCAAAAGGCGCTCTCTTCACAACTGCACTGGTTTTCTGAGAGGCAGGTCAGATGAGAGGAACTCAAACACAAACACAGGGGAAGTCGTTCAGCTGAGCTAATGCCTCTAATGCCCACCAGTTACTTTCAAGTTGGAAAGAAAAACGTGCTCTAAGCTCGGAAGAACAGAAAGAAAGATTGATACGATGCTTTGAGTCGTTACAAACCTGGTTTCAGTTCCAATCTAGAGAAGGACAGAAAAACAGGAACACTCTTAACGTCATATTATACCTGGGGTCTCTATCTGTCAGTTCTCACAACCTTCTGGAGTTTCCTGCTTTCAAACTATTAATATCTAGTATCAAGAAAAGATGGTTTTAGCTCAGGGTTATTCTACCCGCGGAGACAACCAGATCCAAGTATAAGGTCTGCATATTTACTTTATGCTAATACTAAGAAGTGCTCTGTACACAATAGTGTTTTTCTTAACTGATCAGAGCCCTGGTACTGCTGCCTTGGTGGCCTGGGGTCAGTTAAATCCCACTGCTGTGCCTGAGACCTACCCACACCCCCATGCCCACTGCAGGACTCTTGGTCAACCCCGGGGCATTTCAGCTGTCCCATAGGGGACGGGTGAGTGGGAGAGAGGAAAAGAGACAATCACTTAGTTCTGATGTGTTTGTTTGAAAAAGGGGCAAGTTGGGGTATAAATCTCCAAACTGACTGAAGTGTACATAGCAGGAGACCCTCTCCCTGTCAGAAGTCCAGATCCCCTGGACAACGTAGGAAGACTTGGATGACGTGATGATGGGGATAGATACAAGTACACAAAAGCCAGGAGCAGACAGACTTGCCCGAGACGAGGAATTTTTCTGAGCTGCTTCAGCATTTTCTCTGATAGTCTTTCCCTGAAGCAGAAATGTTGAAGGGCAGTACGCAGCCAAATGTGAGGGCACAGTTCTGTGCCCAAGTGGCGATAATGTCATACCCAATAAACAGCTTTTCCATTAATAAATGGAAGTTTTAAGCGAACGTAAAAGCATGTATGAGCATATACACATAATAAAGCTATTTTCTATCCATAAAGCAAAATCTCTGGCTATAGCTGGAAATGCAATCTTAGAACTCTCACTAATGTTAAGTAATGTCTTATGTGAGAGTAGAAAGTGGTTGATAAAAATACTATTTATGAGTTATTATGGAGGGTTGGGAAACTCCCTAAGAATGTTATTTCAGAACCATGTACCTTGTAGGTAGCAAAGTGACTGCAAATAACTGAACAGTCACACTGAGGATGCGAAGTTAGCTTAAGTTTTATTTTTCATACCTTATAGAAACTCTTGAAAAAACAACCAATCAATCGTGAAAACAGATTTCATTTTTACCTGTACAATGACATGAGAAAGTTTCTTGATACCAGGAATTCTAACAAACAGCAAAACAATGATGTTTAATTGACCTGGTCACTGGGATTAGTTCTGCAGTCTGAGAAGGAGTCTGCTCAATCCAAACCAACTAGCCTCCCCTCATGGCCTGACAGCCTGACCCACAGAAGGGCAACAGTCATGGCATGAGGAAGCCCATGAGGGAGAGAGAGGCAGGTCCACAGGCCGAGTTGTGGGGGGCTGAGGTGAAATAGGGAATCTACTGCCTCAAGGAAGGAAACAGCACTTCTCTCTGACCACCCCAGTCACCAGGAAGTGCTGGGGGTCTGGGCTGAGGGGAGTCGGCTGAAACCCTGACAGGCTCAGCAGGCCTGTGCAATAATCCGGCCACGGAGTTTCCTGGGAAGCGGTGGCACCAGGCTGGACCGAGGAACTGGCTCTCTTCAGGGAAGGAAGTCAGCTCAAAATCCATCCATCCCGGGATCCGGAGGACATGAACAGTAAATTCCTAAGTTTGTATTTAGAAAATGAGAGGAAGGAAAGAGATACATTCTCCTGAGGAACGAGGGCTTCTCTTGAGTGGAAAGAGCAAACACAGAGATCTGCAGCTAACCCCCAATACGCTATGGAGAACCATGCCCAGGGGCCGGAAAGCCTCCCAGGAGAGAATTGGGTGAGTGCTCCCAAAAACCCCCAGTCGGCCAAGCCCAGGGGTGCCGATGGGGGGATTCTCTGACATTCTGAGCACACGGCCTCTGCTCCCGTCACTCCTCCCAGAGGGACTAGCCGGCCCTTGGGCCCGGGCTCCACTAGGGCCCTGTCTCAATGGCCCTCGTGTCTTTGCGGTGGTTGGTTCCATGCAGGTTTTTTTCTAAATACACCCCCAGCCTCCTCCTACCCCCACCGACACCTCCATCTTTCTGGCTCTAAGTGACCCTTAAGGAATGAAAGCTAGTTCCTATCACTGGTTAATGGAAAGTCTGCTCTACAGTGTCCTTAGAGCAACAGCTATCTGCTTGCATATTTACCCTCCAGAGAGCTGTGAATGGAGTTAGTGTAGAAAGCCTTCCCTATTAAGTTAAATCGCAGAGCTATACAGTTACAGGAACACATTCTCTATGTATGGGTTGTTGTATGTGTCAGTGTCGGGGAGCAAATGATCCATGAACTGAAGGACAGATCTGATATAATTCCCATCTCCTCAAATCCTCCAGCCACTTCTCAGATCTCAGAAATTAAGACTTCAGTAAAGGATTTCAGTGAATGAACTCATGACCAACACAGATTATGGCAGAAAGGAGAAAATAAACACAAGAAAAAATATACAGTTAGAGGATTTAAATGCTCTACAAGTTATATTGTCAAAGAATATTGCTTTCAATCTCACCAAAAATATGATGTCAACTACATACATATCAATCCTGAAAAGCAACTGCCATTTTATTGAAAATGACATGAGGAAAGAATTTAAGAACCAGCAGACATTTACAAATGCATTACTGTGTTTCTTACCCTTTATGTGGTACAGGCGGACTCTATGTGTGATATGTTCAAAAAAGCAGGTCACATCTGAGAAAATACGTCCATGCTGCACCCTGACCAAGGGTGGTGTTCTGTACTCATAAGGCTGTGAAGGAAATGACATTTTTAAGGAAAATATTTTGGCTTTTAACTTTTCCAAGAAATTACTGTAGTGTCTAAACTGGCAAACACAGATATCACTTCATATTTGCTATTTTAAGTGAAAACAAACCTTACAAGATATCAGATATGCCTATGTCATAAAAATGGCATGCAGGACCTCTTGTTACCACAGATACTGCTTGAAATAGAAAATAGAAATGTTTGCAACCTGATTGGTCTAAATGATCTGCAAACATTCCTCCCAGTTATATCTAATTAAAATCCTTTATACTGTCCATACACTATTTATTAAAAATTGCAAGCACTCTGGAGAGATGAGGGTTTCCCAGGCACACAGCTATTATCTCCACTGCCCACTAATGTCCACAGTCCAGACAGGGGGCCACAGGTAGTAGGATTCAGAAACAGTGTCATCATGGTCAAGTTTACGAGGCTATAAAACACTGCCCTTTTTTCTTGAAAGAACTAAATATAAAGAAAATTTACAAATATAAAAACAAAAACTATGGCAACCACTGGTTCTGTTTTCATCTCTTAGAAGCTGAATTCAAGAAATATGGGCATAAAGCCCATTAATTTATGTGACATAGAGCAACCTCAAACTATTTATGAAGAATTATATTTTCTTCAGCATTACACTTCTTAGTGCAGCAACAACATAAAATACTAGGCTTGCAATGTAAACTATTTAAGTAGGATAATATTTTCAGAACTCTGTCATCTTCTTCCAAATTTAACTCTCTAGCTAGAGAGAAAAATATTATGAAACAGTATACTTTGGAATTGGCCAAGTTCTTCAACTTCTCACGGCAAAACTGGAAAGGAATGGAGGGCGCTAGAGGCAGAAGGGATGGTGCTTCCTTCCTGAGAGAACATCAGCTCATTACCCCACATTCTTCATTCCTCTCCATACACCTAGGGATCCGACACACCTATCTATCCAATATTAAAGTATCTGAAGATAACTAATTTTTCACAGGGAAGTAGAATACTAATTTTAAGGAGAATGTAGAATTTGAGACAGTCAAGAGAGCAACTGACAGGGAAGGAATGTGAGAGAGGGAGAGAGGGAGGGAGAGGGGAGGAAAACGGAGGTGGGGGAAGGGAGAGGACAAAGGAGAGTGGGAGGGAGACACAGGAGAAGGGAGAGGGAGGGAGATAAGACTAAGAAGTAAAGAAATGACACAGCCAGAGCTGGAATGCCAGAAACCCCAGACTGGAGCGCCAAGATGAAATAATTTTAAAGTAGTATTGTTAACACAGGGCCAGAGCGAGAGTTTTAGCAGGTAGGGATAGGGCATTTGCCTTGCACGCAGCTGACCCAGGTTCGATTCCTCTGCCCCTCTCGAAGAGCCAGGTGAGCTACCAAGAGTATCCTGCCCCCAAGGAAAAGCCTGGCAAGCTCCCTGTGGTGTATTTGATAAGCCAAAAAACAGTAACAACAATCCTTACAATGAAGACGTTACTGGTGCCCGCTCGAGCAAATTGATGAACAATGGGAGGACAGTGACAGTGATTGTTAACACATAGTATTTCACAGTATGTGTATTTCATAGTATGTCACTTATTTTTCCTTTTCGGGGCGGGGGGGAGGGCTGCGAGCAGTGGGTGGGCTGAGCACACCCAGCAATGGTCAGGGCTGACTCCTGGCTCTGAGTTCAGCCATCACTCCTGGCAGTGCTCAGGAGACCAAATGGAATGCTGGATATCAAACCTGGGTTAGCCAAGCTCAGGGCAGACGTCCAACCCGCTGTATTATGGCTTTGGCCATAGTAGTGAATTTTTTTGTTTTAATGTATCAAAGTCCATCCAAACAAAACACTTGCCAGGTGACTAAAGTTAAGTGAGGAAACACTGATTAATAGTTTATACTTGGGCTCTGCTGCTTGCCCTGGGATGCCCCCAGTGATCTGCAACTGACTTTAAATTTCTTACTCATTTAAAAAGAAAATAACAAACAAAAACAAGGACTTTCATAATCTCCTATAATGTGCATTTGATTCTGTTTTGCTTGTTTGGTTTTTGGGCAATACCCGGTGATGCTCAGGGAACCATACGTGCTGCAGTGCTGGGGTTCAAAGTGGGCGGCCACATACAGAGCAAGCTGCACTCTGGCCCCTGGATTTGATTTGGTTTGCAGTGTGTTAAATAATGGCACAGAAGCAGCCTTTTCAGGAACTGGAGCAACAGCACAGTAGGGGGGACACTTGCCTTGCATGCAGCTGCCCCAGGTTCAATCCCCAGAATCCCATATATAATGGTCCCCTGAGCACTGCCAGGTGGTTCCTGAGTGCAGAGTCAGGAGTGACCCTCAGCATTGCTCGCTGTGGCCCCCCAAACACAACCAAAACGAAAAGTAATAGCATTTTCAGAAGGCAGGTCCTATAGGATAACACTGGTTTGTCTTTCCTGCCTTGCCACAGGGAGCTTAGATTTAATGGGTTACTCCCGTCACAGTGCTCCCATTCTTCTGTGTGTATTTGTAACCTCTTTCTTTGTGCTCTGCTTCCCCAACTGGTCCAATCACCTTTATCTCCTAATCAGACTCTGTTAACTTGTAAATATTGTTTTTCTTCTTTTTCTTAAGTCCTTTGCTTAGTAAATTCAGAGCACTGTCCTTTTTCTATAGACACAGGAAGACAGTTAATACTATGCCTTGGTAACTTGGGAATTAATTGACTTTGAATTTAATTGGCTGGAGCGATAGCACAGCGGGTAGGGCGTTCGCCTTACAAGCGGCCAACATGGCCAACCCGAGTTCGATTCCCCCGCCCCTCGCGGAGAGCCAAGCAAGCTACCGAGAGTATTCGATACGCCAGACACAGTAACAACAAAAGTCTCCAATGGAGACGTTACTGGGCCCGCTCGAGCAAATCGACGATCAACGGGAGGGCCTTTACCTTTTACTTTTTACCTTTAATTGACTCCAAGTAATATTCACTCCTGGGCATGTTTTCTAGATTTATGCCTCAGTTGCCCTTACTTCCTAGCACTCCAAAAACAGAGTCCGGATGAGGTACTGGATAGACCCAGGGCAGCTGTGAGCTATCCTGGCATCAAAATGAGCCAGGCCAAGGTGCCGTAATACTTAACTAAAAGAGCATGGTCATGGACAAATTCTGTCATGATCCAAAAAGTAGTAACTGGAGTAGGAGTCTGTAAGGGTTAGGAAAGATTAATCTGGCCTGAGTGCTGTAGTCTGAGATCTATAGCGAGATGCCAACAGAAGAGCCATCCTATAAGCTTAATGTATCTCTTACTGTGTTCATACAAAATAATATTAAGAAGCAGAGTTAAGATGTTAATTAAGTTATTGGACTAAGGAAAGGAGAAAAACACCTAGGTGTTATTTGCTCTTGAGCCTGATCTGTGACCAGGAAGTGATTTGATATGTTGGTTGTGCTACCCCTAAAGTAGGGGTGGGGGGAAATGAGATAAAGTAGGGAGTGAGAGAGACCTGAGACCTGAGAGAGACTGAGGCAGAAAGTCGGAGTGCAGAGAGATGAGCAAGGGAGACAGGAGGAGATGGGAATGAGGGGCAGGATGAGACTGGAATGGAGAGCTTAGTGAGATTGGAACAGGAGCATAGGGAGAAAGGAATAAAGGCAATGATCACCAACCAGCCTGCCTGGCCCTTGTTTGCTCCTTCGTCCACCCATGGCATTGGCCATCCTGGGTGGGGATGTGGCCAGAGACCACCGAACATAGGCAGAGAGTGCCGCGGGATTTCCTAGTTGCCTGATGATTACACAGGTCCCAAGGCACAATTTGGGAACAATTATTGTATCTTGAAGGTGATAAAGATTGTGTAAGTCTAAAAGCAAGAAGGAGGGGCCAGAGCAATAATACAGCAGATAAGGCATTTGTCTTGCACAAGGCCAACCTGGTTTTATCGCCATGGTTTTATCGCCAGCACCTTCCATGGTCCCCAAATCTGCCAGAAGTTATTCCTGAATACATGGAGATAGCACACAGCTCTGAGCACCACAAGGTGTGACCTAACAACCCAGGCCCCCCTCCCCCAAAAAGAAAAAATAATAAAACGAGGAAAGGGGAAATATCAAGTTGACTCCATGAAAATTAAAGTGCAATCAAAATAACTTTTAAAATAAAATTCAAATTAAAAACTTAATACATAAAATCTGCAGGAACAGAAATAGTGAGATAATGTCAAATTAAATTGTTGAAAAAAACTTTTCAACATAGCAAAATGGAGACATTACTTTTAGCATGCCTATTATCATAGCGAATTTCAGCCTCATCACCTTTTCTGTGTCACCCCTGTGGTACTACTACAGTATTCCCCTCAGACCTTTTCTGTGTCACCCCCTGTAGTACTACAGTGTTCCCCTCAGACCTTTTGTCTGTCATCTCTCGTGGTACTACGATGTTCCCCTCAGACCTTTTCTCTGTCACCCCCTGTAGTACTACAGTGTTCCCCTCAGACCTTTTGTCTGTCATCTCTCGTGGTACTACGATGTTCCCCTCAGACCTTTTCTCTGTCACCCCCATGGTACTACAGTGTTCCCCTCAGACCTTTTCTGTGTCACCCCCTGTGGTACTATGGTATTCCCCTAAAAAATTTTCTGTGTCACCCTCCATGGTACTATGGTATTCTCCTCAGAGCTTTTTGTCATCTCTCGTGGTACTACGATGTTCCCCTCAGACCTTTTCTCTGTCACCCCTGTAGTACTATGGTGTTCTCCTCAGATCTTTTCTGTGCCACCCCCTCCCCCATCCCCCTGTGGTACTATAGCATTCTCCTCAGACCTTTTCTGTGTCACCCCGTGGTACTACGGTGTTCCTCCCAGCTAAGTGTAGGGGAGCCATTCAGTGTCAGGGACCAAAAACAGCCCAGTCTCAGAGTCACCCCCAGCCTCTCACTTAGTCAATATAATGATTTTTTGATTTTTCAATATAATTCTGTCAACTCTAATCACTCTCAAACATTATATCTTCAGGTCTATTTCATCTATAACTAAATCTTCTCAAACAGAACCGCATATCCAAAAAGTATGTTTTTAAAGAACATACCTTCAATTGTGAACTGTCACCATGAGAGACAAAATATGGACATGTAGTGAAATAAAACTGAACACGTGGGAAGTGAGGAAATGTATTAGAAAAACAGACCAAATAATTTAAAAAATCCACTTCACCATTTCATCAAAGCATTGGCAGTGGTTAGCATGGATTTGTGGAATAATCACAAAAATTACTGTTTTCTTTACTTTCAAAGGTACCTAAATCAGACAGAGCCTCCTTTATGAAGAGAACTTAATAGAGCATCTTAATTGATTCCAATAAGGAAATTTATTTAAAACTCAACTATAAAATTCTAAATATGAAAAAGGAGAGAACAGTGGGGCCAGCTGGATTATCCGTATGAGGTAGGTAATGGAATCATGACCTCACACCGTTTCTTCATGGCCTTCCAATCCATAGATTCCCTGCTCAGGTCCTCGGCACTTACCTTGGATTCCCCGTCAGGTAAGAAGAGGTAAGCACCACTCTTGTCTCTTTTACTAGTGGTTCCATACCATGAAAATTGCACTTTTACTTGATGAGGTTTACCATCTTCTTTATTTATCATTTCCTACAAACAACAACAAAATTAAGGCTACTAACAACAACAAAATTAAGGTCCAGCTTGTTAAGAGTCACTATACTGTATTTATCTCCATAGATATGTAAAAATAAAAAGCTGCCCTGGGATTCAATCTCTAATATTTAAATTATTTGAGAGAACATCCAAACACTGCCTTAGGATTAAAAATCTTCATAATACAAAAATATGAAATATAATTTCATCTATGAAGAGAATAATAAATTCACCTACTTAAGTCAACTTTTCTCTTCCTACAAACAATATGTAAATTAAACCAGTTATTCTCAAATTTTACATGGTAGAGAAGATGGTCTAATTTTTTTTATAATTTATTTTTAATGTAAATCAGTCGTGGTTAATACTGTGTTAATGTTTGTTATTGTTGTACAAAGTACTGCACCACGAACACCATGCAAGTGTCCAGAATTCTCCACCACTGCAGGTTTTATTTCCCATATGCATGGAAAAATATTTTCGTTAAGTACAGTAATAGTAACTTAGTAAAATGTAAAGTTTTAAGTGCTATGTCACATTATACTGTTTTTGTATTATTAGTTTCAGCAGACATACATTTACTCAGTCAGACTATTTTCGAAGCTTCCACAAACATTCAGAAAGTGTTTGCATTCTGGTGCTGGGGGCTAGTCCTGACTGTGCACTGCTCGGGAACTGGTCCTGGGTTCCCACACGCAGAGCACGTGCCCCAGCTCGGGAGCTTCTCCCAGCCCTCCAGGAATGCTTCTGAACAATCACAAGTTCTACAGATCCCAGAGCGGTACCACCCTGGGCCACACTGGAGAGGAGCAGGTGGCAAAGAGATCAACCCACAGACCAAAAAGAAAAAAAAAATCCCCCCGAAAACCCTGCGTGAACTACAAAGAGATGGTGCAAGGCAACATGGTAAATCAAGAGACTTCTTCCCATCAAGAGAATTCTTCCCACCGGTTCCTTCATCCACCCCCTGTCGATAGAAGAGAGAGCATAACTCTTAGAAGGAGGCAGAGAATATAAGGTGAAACCATCGTTAAGAGCAGATGGTTAATATGCAGACAATACTGTCCTACAGCCTGAAAGCAGGTCCTGGGGAACACTGCTGGAGGGAAGCTGACGCTGGCGGCGAGACTGTTGATGGAACATTGTAGATCAAAAACCCAACTCTAAGTAACCTTGTATCATGGTGCTTTAATAGAACTTGTCTAAAAATCTGAAAAATCAAATCAAATAAAAAAAGACATAAGGCTAACATATTAGGATACATATGTACTCAAAAATATGAGCGTACAGATTAGGGAAAAACATTATGTACAAATCTTTCCCCACAGACAACCGACTCTTCAGTCAACTTAAGTCACCTATCCCCTTCATACAAACAATATGTACAAATTATAATAAAAGTGATAAGCTGCCTAAAATCTCAGAATTGTTCGGAACATACCTCCATAAGCCCAGACTGGTTAAATCGAAGTTTAATAAAGGAGTTCTCTAAAGTTATATCTTCTTTGGCACTTTTCATATTCTTAATGTTGAAAATTCCTGTATCTTTTATGTCACCATAATTAAACAAGGCATATTCAGATAAATGAGGATTTGAACTTGTTGATTCCAAAATTTTATATACTTTCAATCCCAATGGTGGTAATTTTGCTAGAAAAGTGACCTTTAAAAGATTGAGAATTTATTAAAGATAAATATAGCTTACTTAATAGAAACCATGTATTACTTTCATTAATAATAACCAATTGTTACATTTTAAAATAGAAACCACAATTCTATTCTAAAAATGTTTTGCTAACATGTGGGAGCACATATTTTAGTTAATCCAGAGGACCTAAAACTTGCTGAGAGGACTATCAAGGGCATTCATCTTTTCCTTCTATTTATGAAACTCTAGGAACTCTTGATTTGTGCTTAGGAAAATTCTCTCCGATGAAGTAAAGCCTTATTGTGAATAATAATTTTCTTCTTAGAAATCTTCTCAAAATAGTGATATTTCAATACATTAAAAATGAGACTGGTAAATTTAACATCAGCCGTAAACTAATGATTTCAGTCAATGACTGCCTGAGGTCCAGCAGACGTGTACGCTGAAGCTCTGCCCAGGAACCATGGCACCAGCTCCGTGCTCTGGATGGGGACCCTCCTTTAAAGCCAGACTGAAATTCTTCCTGTAAGCTAAGGGGTTATGAGTCTTTCTGAGCAGCGCAGTATGGCTTTTAACAAGCAGAGGCAATTCTCCTTTAGAGCTCATCGCTTATGGCTGGATCTTCACAAGTAGTTTGAAGTGCCCTTCATGTTCAAAGCACAAACTTTCTAGTGATGCAGGGATTCAGTTTAACTCTGTTTACTCCAAAACAATTTCTTCCCAACAATTTATTACTTAGGAGCAGATTAAAAAAAAAAGTAAAGAAAGAAAGAAAGGCAAAAAATTACTTATTTTACGAAAGCTTTCTTTCCTAACATATTATGTTACCTTACCATTATGAGAATTTGGACATACCCAAAATTATTTGTCAGTATGATATTAATCTTGATTTCAATAGGCATAATCATCATCAAACTGAACTATGTTCAATAAAAAGAAATTCAAAAAATCCTTGAGTAATGCTTATTTCATTAATTTGGGGAGAAGCTATAAGCACAAAAGTTTCAGTGATAACGTGTTAATTGTAATTAGAATATACATATAATAAATATATGTTTTTGGAAATAGGACCTATTTCCTCTTATTTGGGCCTGGGAAACCAGCTGGTATTTACAAATTTAGCAATCTCATAAACAACTTGATAGTTTAAGAAGTTATGCTTTTATTAACTGGTTATGATTCTTTTTTTAAAAACACGTCTTTCAGTTCTGTGGCAACAACATACCTCGTAAGCTGCTTCTGAAAAAGTATCTGCTTTGTCCCACACTGCGCTGATTTGAATTTCCACAGGTGTCCCTAATGCAGACATCACCTGGACATTGGGGGAACTCACAAAGACTGAGACTACTGAGTTTCGGTCTTGTTCTGAAGGATTACAGACCACCAGATGCCTGCAAAGACAGCTGCTTTACTACCAGGTCTAAAAATAATCTATGCCCTATTGACTGCCTATCAACAGTCACAGTGCTAATATTGGAGAAGACATACAAGGCACATTCTGGTGAAGTACTTGAAGAACCAACAATTGCATCACAACAAATACCACATAGTACAAAGTTAACACAGTAACATGTACTTTCTAAGAATAGAATGGTTTATAAACAGAAGACATTAATAGAATTAATTTTTGTAAATTAGAAAATGACCTATATACTTAAGATTTTATTTTCTATTAATAGGATCAGCTAGCTCTATACAACCAGAATTTTGATCCATGCTTGACCTCACTGGTTAAGAAAATACTGGAAATACTGGTTAAGAAATTATGTTTGTAGTTTGTCAACTATTAATTCCAATTAAAATTTTGGAATTTGTTTTGCACCACTAACAGAAAAAAAAAATACAGCACATATTTCTTACACCCTATTTTATATACAGGAAGCCTGTACTATTTAAAAAGTTGGTTCTGGAACAAAGGCAATTTGAAGTGAATTCACTTAAAGCTGGGGGGAAAAAAACTAGTAATTAAGAAAGCTTTGATTGGAACTTAGGTAGAAAAATCTAAATATATACAATGGCTAGTGAAATAAGGCAACATCTGAATCACGTGCAAGTCTTAGAATCAAGAGAAAATGAATTCACGGCAGTTTGGGGACAGTGTTCCCAATGGCCTTTTATACTGTCCCAATGGCCTTTTATACTGTCCCACATCTCTCATTTGCAGAGGATGGCTTTAAACATGAATATTTTGTAAATATCATTCATGATCTTTATCACCACACTTCTTACTCTAACCCATCATTTCTTCAGTTTTCTCAGCAGTTTTAGACTCCCAGACTTCATTTCATGGCGTTAGGAGCAGAAATTGTCTACCCATCATATCACGGGCTTAATGGAATCCACAGCTGCAATATTTTACTTTATAATCAATTTGTACCACATTATCTTCAAATAAATAAGTTATTTCAAAGAGAAAACCCAAGCAGTAATATAATTGAGATTGATTTATGAATATTTTCATGATCTCAAGCATTGTTTTTTCTATCCTATTTTATAACTGTAGGAATACACACAAAATTAAAGTCAAATATCAAATATCTCCCTCTGGCCAGAGCTACATCAGAGCTTGTAGAAATAACTTAGTATCATTTATTTAATGTCCCAGATAGTATATCAGTGCTCCTTTACTCTACAAAAGTGTCTTATGTATTTCGGTTGCATTACACACCTACCGTTTAAAAAAATTATTACCTATGCTGACCAAATTACAGGGTAGGATAGCAAAAAAACGCTGAAGGAAAGAAAAACATACACAAAACATGTTTATTAGAAATACTGAGGATTGACTCTGAGACGCCTGAAAGGGACAGCATGACAATCAGAGCTTCTGCTTCCTGCCAGGGAAGCACAGGCTCTCACACCCGACACATCATTTATGGTCACTGAGTCCCCACATACAGGAGAGACGACAATAAAACTCCACTTTGCATAGATGCAGATCAATTCAACTCCGAGCACAGTTTCAGTCAACAAACATTCCTGAGAGTATGGTCCATCCCTTTCACCCTCCAACCACCACCGCCAGCGCCTACTCCCCAACCACACGGTTTGCACCAGCAAAGGGACGGAACGTGTTCTATCCCTAGTGGGCTGGGGAGTGAAACAGCTGACGAGCACTTTTCCTTAGGACTGCAGGTGCCCAAGCAGCATTCAGCAAAGAGGGACTGACTACTGCACCCCGCCCCGCCTGAGGCCTGCGAAGCCGGGATCTGTAATCAGCTGGGCCTGTCTCCTGATTCTGAGGCTTGCGCAGGTTCTGAATGAACCTAGAACTTACAACGCCAAATTCTTTAGGCACTTCACCACACAGCTGGTGACGAAGACTGAAAATCAGGGAACAGGTGTCCAAGCATTAAATTAGATAATAAGCATCCAGAATGCTGAAGCTTAACATTTAAAGTAAACAATAACAAACCACAGTTTGGTTTTATATATTATTAAATCACTTTTTACAAAAAACTGTGCAGCAGGCTTGGTTTTGTTTCATTCCAGTAGCTGATTAGTATTGGACCATAATGATGTTTCTACTGTACTGAATGATTATGTAATTATCATACCAGGAATCTATTCAAAAACTCAATGTGTAGAGTATATAATGAATATAATGCTGCACTAAGGAAATCATTTTTAAAAACATAATTAGAAATTCACAGCATGTCTTTCAGTGCACAATGGCACGAATTTATACAACACACACAAACTGCTATCTGTACATTTTAAGTAGAGAACAGAGAAAACACGCTCATGTATGAATTTCTTCCTGTGGAAACAAGAGCAGCAAAGGTTAGCTATTTCCTGTTATCCAGCACTTGGTAAGCCCTGTGATACTGATAAATCTAAAACTCAAGTTTTTGAAGCCCCTTTATAAACAGAGCCAATGAGTTCTATCATACTCATTTCTGGAAATAAATTTTTGATCCAATTCTAATGGAAGTATTATATTTATATCCTAAAAAGGAAGACAGTTTATGGTTTACCTTGGAAGTAACAATACCAGAAGCACAAACTCATTTCTCCCAACTTCCCTCACACTTGCATTAGTATCTTATATGTTACCAAGTCACATCAAAACTGTTTCATGACATTAAGCACCTACAATTGGGGGCTACAGGCAATTACCTCAGTTCTCAATACATAAGGAACCGCCACAGCTCATGAAGATACACCACCCCTGTGACCTGCCAATCAAATTAGAGGGCAGACACAAATCTACTGGGGCCAGCAGATAAAGAAATGGAGAAAAACAAAAGGAGCCTGTATGCACATGTCAAACTGAATCACTTTATAAAAGAACTAGAATTCTGCTCTAACTGCAGCCATAAAGATCCTAAGGATGAGAACCACCTCAGCATCCATCCATTCACCTGTCTTCTGGAAATAATTCATGTCAAGTGAAGGAAGAGAACTGGGCCCAGCCAGGTCCTCTCTCCACAGCAAATCTAGGCAGTGACAGGACTGGAGAGAGACCAGGGTGACAAGAGCTTTATCCAGAGCCAGATGAAGGGCTAAGTGGCGGGTTATAGCCCTGCTGTTCTGAGGGACTCTGGCGCTCTCACCAAAGCAAGCTCAGGGACTGGCTAGTCAAGCCAAAAACACAAAAGATCCTTTTAAACACAGAAAAATATTCTATTAGTTAATTCTAAGAAATGGTCTAATTACAGATGAAAAACAATAAATTTGGTTTAAAAGTAATGCAACCTCTAAAAAGAAACACCAACTTTAACAAGGATACTCCCTCTAGATTCTGGGATTTTAATGAGCAATCACAATTACTTTTCTCTCCTTCCAGAAGTATGAAAGTATAAAATACTACTCTATTAAAAGCACGGATTTTGTAAATAATTGGAGAAATAACAGTACAGACAAAAGAAAACAAAGATGTACATTCTAAGTGGAGTGAGAGAATGACTGTACAAATATAAGCAATTATTGTTATTTCAGAATATTCCCACCATCTATTCTAGCAGAACTTGGGTAGTGAAACACACCTCGGAAACACCTGTATACAGAGCAAGGAGAAAAGAACCTGAAGTCACAGTGAGGACTGAAGAATCGCTAAGTTATCACAGGCTAATTCATTATATGGTTCTGGTTTAGATTAAACTAAAGTTTTAAATCAAGCAGTTTAATTTTTCATTTTGTGCTATTATTTGGGAAGGGGGTCTCCAAAGCAGTGATTAAGAGTTCCCAGATACTGCTGGTGATTCCTGGTCAATGAAGCCAGACAATTCAGTACAGTTGTGCTTGGGCCAGGTGGTGCGTGGGGGGCATCAGGACATCCAGAACTGTTTGAGGCTACGTGGACTAGGGGTTAAACCTGGGTTCCCGTGCATGCAAAACACGTGTCTCTGGCCACCAAGCTGTCTCCTTCAGAGACTTTCATCTTATCATTGTCGTCGTCATCATCATTGTTTGCTTTGGGACTATACCTAGTTGTCATTTTGATTTATAGAATTACATCACCATTACTAAAATGAATGCCCAAGACCTTCCATTCATGTTCTTTTGAGAAGAAGGGGTCATACCCATCTGAGGTCAAGACTACCTCTTGGCTCTGTGCTCAGGGATCACCCCTGGAAGTGCTCAGGAGACCATATGTGGTAAATATATAAAACTCAGGTCACCCACATGCAAGGCAAGTATCATACCTGATGTACTATCTCTCCAGGCCCCAGATCTCTATTTTTAACTGATACTTCTGGTTGTCAGGTAGAAAACAAATTTAAAGATACAAGATGTAAACAGGAAGATCAAGTAGGCAGTTATAATAGTCCAGATAGAAAAGCTGACCTACATTAGAGGGAAAGTAGAAATACAAGATAAGGAATTTCAGAAATAGGTAACACATTTTGTTAGAACGGTTTCTCTCTCTATATTTTTTTTTAAAGAATGTGGAAAAGGTTGCATGGTGAATCAGAAGAAGAATCTTCCATGACTAGAAATTAGGGCGAGAGAGGTATGGTGGTGCATTAAAGATGAAATACCATTAGAAGGGAGTGACAAGAAGAAGGTGTTTGGACCAAGTGTCTAGCTGTAGGCTAAGCAAGGCCTCTTGAATACTGAAGTCATCTGAAGATCATCTTCAGAGTTCTAACCTGATGACCCTAAACTGTCTTTTGATGACAAGCAGAATAACTGTCCCTTAATGATTTACCAAAAACACTGATCTCCAGAACCATCTACAGCACCCCAAGTGTTGTGGTACCACCTTAGGCTCTGCAGCCCAGCCCTCCATCTAAACACCCCCAACCACACTGGGCCGTAATGCACAACTGGGAGAAAGTGGCTATCAGCAAGGTAATGAAGCCCAAGAACTTCTCTTACTTCCTGCAAGGACAACACCAACTGACCTTTTAGCAAATTCTCACTTTCTGCAAGAGATTGGGAGAATGGAATCACAGTATAATAGGCCTTCACTTTTCAATGTGGTGATATTTTGGAAACTCATTTCCTATGACACTGTCACTGTCACTGTCCTCCCACTGTTCATCGATTTGCTCGAGTGGGCCCAGTAAAGTCTCCATCATGAGACTTTGTTGCTACTGTGTTTGGCATATCAAATACGTCACGGGTAGCTTGCCAGGCTTTGCTGTGCAGGCGAGATACTCTTGGTAGCTTGCCAGGCTCTCCGAGAGGGGCGGACGAATCGAACTCGGGTCGGCCATGTTGGCTGCGTGCAAGGCAGACGCCCTACCCGCTGTGCTATCGCTCCAGCCCAAGACTGGTTATTTCGCAGTTGAATTTTCCTTTCCAAAACTTCCTCCCCTTGTATTTATCAAACCAATACTGTGAAAATGACATATCCCAACAGAGAAGAAAACCAAATGTTTGTTGGTAGTGGCCGTGGGAATCACCTTCTTTGGCACCTTCTTTCCAAGTACATACAAGTAAAGCCTTAACAAAAATGAAGCTGCTGAGGCGAAGGAGCCGAAAGCAGGAGAGCTCTCGTTCTAGTATTCCCTTTACGATATTTAAAGTATGAAAGTGAGACGCCCACAGTTCAGTGCTCCTGGGAACAAAAGAACCACACTCAGAATTAAAGTGATAACCCTCATCGATACAACTATGTATTTCAGGGCTTTCCCCAAGTGGGGAAGTATTTTTAAAGACATAAGCATACAACTAAAGTATAATCAATATGCGATTTATACCTTCTATAAGCAAAATAGTACCGAAACATTTTCCAATTAGATGTAGAGTGTAAGAAAAAAAACAGCAAGTTAATAAAAAGGATAAACAATCTGCTCAAACTATTCTTGTATTTTTGACATTAAAAATCATAAAAAAGAAACAGATGTAAAAATTGTATGTGATTTGCTGACCCCAGGAGACTGCTGCCAATTAAGGTACTTTCACTCAGAGTTTTGTCTAAAACAAAATACCATCTGTTTTACCTAAAACATTAAGATGTTCAATTTTCCTGTCAATTCCGAAATCACATCTGTAGTCATTTTGTGAAAAGACAGCAAAAGACATTATATTTATGGGTGACTACATAAGGAATGATGTTCAATCAAAATGTAATTTTCATCTCCTGGAAGAAAATCTCATTTCTTCAATGACTAGAATGCTGTAACTTTGAAGCAACACACAGTACATAAATAGGCTGATTTCCACAAATAAAAAAGACCTTAAAAGTTAATGCAGTAAAATAAGGCTGTCTTGTTGCTAAAGACGGAAAAGGAAAACATGTTTGTATTCATTTTGTGTATCCCTGTTGGCACTGGAATCTATCTTACATGAGGCTTTTAGGTGAGAAGAAAACAACAATTTTTTTTATTGACGCTGCATCTCTTCATGCTACTGAACCATTATATAAGTGGTAAAAATGAGAAAGGAAATAAACACAAACCACTTTCTATTTCCAAAATACTTTCAGAAACAATATTGGACCTGACAGTGACACTCTTCCTATACAAACACACGAGCAAAGGAGAAAGGTGTGAAACATTAGAGAAAACACCATTTCCGGGGAACAGAGTCAGAAAGGTATAAAACAAGGATATATTTTGAAGAAAAAGTCACAAGTCAATCTCATTATTTATAGGATTTTAAGCAGTCATCAAGGCCTATAAAAATATCTAAATTTCCTAGTCTAGCCCCAAGCAGAACCCCGGCAGCTAAAAACCTCAAGAACCCGACCACCGCCATGCACAAGGCCACACTCCACATGTTCGGACGAGCCTCACCCAAGAGGGGATGAGCCTCACCCAAGAAGGAATGAACCTCACCCAAGAGTGGACCGGCAGGAAAACCCAGGTGTGCGGGAACCTTTGACTGAGATCTCCAAGCCTGCTCGGATTGGGACTGGCCCTCCTTCCCCCAGCTCCCCAGTTTTCCAGTAGCTTGGCAGTCACACCCATGAACCACCCCGGGCGGCATGTAATCTCATCAAATGGCCAAGACCCAGAGACTATAAACTCCCAGAAGAGAATGGCAGAATTTCCTGGACATTATAGTCCATCCATAACAAGCATCACAAAACAAATAGTCTAGCACTGTCTTTTTGGCAGGTTTGAGTGGTGGTGAGACTGGTGTTGAAATATAGAATATAACCAAAGTAGAGGGAGAGTATGGGGAAGGTTGTCTGTCACACAGGCAGGGGTATGGTGGAGAAATACTGGAGATTTTGGTGGTAGAAAATGTACACTGGTGGAGGGATGGGTGTTTGATGATTGTATAACCGAAGCTCAAACATGAACGCTTTGTAACTGTATCTCAGGGTGAATCAATAAACGGGTGGGGGGGAAAATAAAATAAAAATATAAAATTAACATTCTGAATAAAAAAAAAGTAACATTAAGTTCATGCCCAATTCAATCCGCTTAATCAATGGTTGAATAAATAGCAGTACTCTTACATTTAAAAAAAAAAAGGAATCAAAGAATCTGAGAAACTACTGCCATACTTCTGAAAAAAACATCCCATTTTTACTAAGAGTGAGTATAATTATTTAACTCTAGTGCCTGTTCAAATTATCAAATTCTTCCATCCGAGAGTACCATGATTTCTTCATTTGTTACTACTGATTTCACTGAATCAGTAACTAAAAAAACTCATGATTGAGAAGTCAAAATACGGATTTTAAAATCAAATTTATCAGCACTTCTATTCATGAGATTCTAATTTCACCTAAGTATAAAGAGTAGCACTGACATTTGGTATAAAAGAACTGTGAAAAATACTAAGATGAAGAACATTATTTAAAACAAACTGTTTAAACAGGATTATTCAAAAGTTAGTCATTGTAATAGTTTCAAAAATTTTGTCTGCAATAAAACCTCAATTACAAAGTTCAAAAATATATGTTCCTTAATCAATACATTGTATTTTCCAACTTTCCTCTCTCAGTGTAAGTGAAACTAAATTCACAGTGCTAACTGAGCAAGGGCAGCGCAGAAGAGAGGGGCTGATCAAATCCCAAACACTCAGACCCACACCCACAGCTATGAAGATGCAGAGAAGGAATAAGTATTACTTAGAGCGAGCATAAGTCATACTACAGCATAAATTCAATAAAAGCAGAATTTCATCACCAAAACAGAAAAAGAAGATTATGTCAAAAGTCAAACTTTCCAGTTCATTAGGAACACAAAATTTAAGCATCAGTCATTTAAACCCAAATGCATCAAACTATTACATATTAGGTTAAAAAAATATCAATACAATTGTAATGATATAATTAATTTTTCTTTTCACATCATTATCTGTTCATCCTAATTAAGGCCTAGCAAGCTTTGAAGTCTTCATCAAGGCTCTAACTTGAAGACTAAAAATTAATAGGAGTATATATCTACGTAAAAATCATGAATTATATTTTATAACTATTCTCTGATCTCATTATTTATGATTTTCTCAATTATATAGTAATAATTTATATTACAAAAATATGCTGTGTATTCAGGTAAGGATACTGATGTATAATAAACCTGATCATTTGATGGGTAAACAACTGCCAATAAAAACATATGAAGTTTTCTTTGGCAATCACAGGCAGTCCCCAATTAAATGCCAAGGTCTAGTGGACACCTTTCTCATTTACAAAAACACAGATCAATCGACCAATAATGAAGCAGTTTGATTAACACAAATTAAAAGTTACTAGGAAAAAGGCATTATAAAAAAATCTCATCTTGCTAAAATCATCTTCATTTACAAATAGGTCAGAGGCAGTCTAGGGTCATGGCTCTTGCCTTACAGCTGCTAACCCACCTCTACCTTCAGGCACTACCCATGGTCTCCCTGGGCACAGAGCCAGGAACAAGCCCTAAGTCCTGTCAAACATCACATACACACAAAGAGGTTAAAAGATTAATAAAAATACAGCAAACAGAACATTATCAAACATAAGCTAAAAATAATATTACTAAGATTTTTTTACTATAAAGCTATAGAATTACCATTCCAAGCTTTACATGTAAGAAAAATGCTATAATAGTTTGAGTATAGGTAAAGCACTGTGATAATTATTAGTACTGAACACAACACAAACTTGAACAAAATTCACTTCTCAGGAAAAAAATTTAAAATAATAAACTTTATGCAAAATATTTCTTTAATGTTTTATTTGCTAGTTAGAGAACAGAATTATCAAAACAGAAAGCCAAGCTAGAAATGCAGAATGCAGTATGTTTATGGAAAATTATTTACCGTGGTTTGCCATTCAGAGTTACAATCTTTTGTTGTGGTTGTAAGTCGTCCTTGTTTTGTTTCAAATCCTACAAAAATAAGAATACTTACTTTAGCAGTTAAGATTCAAAATTAACTATGTGATTCAAAATTAACTTGCAAAAATCTTGAAGATGGCACAATAGGAAAACAGTTCTTTTTTTCCAGATACAAAAAGCTATCAAACTTCAAGATATTTCTTTGTATGTATATTTCTACAAACGTAATTAGTGTATATTACCAGGACCACGGGCTAGAGCGAAAGCACAGCGGGTAGGGCGTTTGTCTTGCACGCTGCCAACACGGCCGACCCGAGTTCGATTCCTCTGCCCCTCTAAAAGAGCCTGGCAAGCTACCGACAGTATCTCGCCCACATGGCAAAGCCTGGCAAGCTGCCTGTGATGTATTCTATATACCAAACACAGTAACAACAAAGTCTCATAATGAAGACATTACTGGGTCCACTTGAGAAAATCGATGAACAACGGGAGGACAGTGACCAGGACCAAAGTTCATAATGGGTAATTCCATTTAGGACCCAAGTAAATTCTAGAGCTCTAGAGATAATTCTGCAAGATAATCTTACTATATTTTTGTTTCTGTGTTTCAGACACTTAAAAACATATCTATTTACTGCACTTGCAACTTTAACAAGGATATCTATAATCATTGATTATAAACATCAGTATTTGAACATACTGAAGTTAGTATTTCATTCCAGAGGTATGAAATCACATTACATAAGTAGAATCTAAGAATAAATAAATTGAAATTTACAAATATCTGATCTGAGTTGGGCTGTAGCGATAGCACAGAGAATGGGGCATTTGCCTTGCACGCAGCCGACCCAGTCGACCTGAGTTCGATTCCTCTGCCCCTCTTGGAGAGCCCAGCAAGCTAACGAGAGTATCTCACCCGCATGGCAAAGCCTGGCAAGCTACCCGTGAAGTATTCAATATGCCAAACACAGTAACAAGAAGTCTCAGAATGTTACTGGGGCCGCTCGATCAAATCGATGAAAAATGGGAGGACAGTGACAGTGACAGTGATCTGAGTTGTCAAGTCTAAGTGTAAAGAGGATTACAATCAAACTGTTTTTCCTACTGTCCTTCCTGGTTTCAGAATTGCCTGGTCTGCCTCTCAGAGCACTTTCTTTATCATCATCTCATCTGATCCCAGGAGGTAACAAGCTACAACAGATGCTATCATCCTAACTTACAGATGGGCTCACAGAAAGTAACTTTTTCAAGGCCCAAGTGATAAGGAGCACAAATTGAAGTGGATAGTACATCTCTCAGTTCCTTCATTTTCTTAATTAGTCAGTATCACTGCAACATATGGCCCTCTGTTGGCCCCCAAGATATTCAAAAGGGGTCGCGGGCATAAGTCCTGGCGTTAAGTGAGACCTAAAAGGAAGGCAGGGGAGTCACTGGGAGGAAACCAGGCTCAAGCCGGCTCTTGTCAGGAAAGGTTGTAAACACTGCCCGCAGCACTATAAGGGTTCCTCCCCAACTCAGAAGACTACTTGGGGTCTTAACAAGTACAGACAAAAGATTTACAGAAGTTCAAATATCCAGAAACTTCTAATTCAAGTCACAGTTAAAAACCAATTAAAATGTTCAGTTACCTTATAATACTACCTTCAAAGTGTTTTAAATGCCTATATTTTCACCTATCCTACAATATGTCCAATTATTTTTCTACTGAGACTTAAGTTAGCACAAAAGTCAAATAAGTCAAATAGAAAAGTATTTACATGAGATAATATAAATTTAAATAATGTAGGTAGCTTGTGAATGCACAAAAATTCATATTTCAATGTCTTTTTCGTTAAGTATCTTACTTCCTATTCTAGTTCAAGACTACAAAAACAACAACAAATTTGCACATCTGAGAAATATAGAAGATAACAACTTACCATTTCTAGGAGGGTATCAAAAGAGAATAAGTCATATGAGCGTTTATCTTTCAAAAGAAGAAGCAGGGTCGAATGTCCAATTATTTTCTTCAAATCCAGTAATGAATGAGAGAGCCTGAAAGCAAAAATTTCAGTAGTATGAGAAGTAAAAACTTCGAATGTCTTCATGTTCATTAATAAGAAAGTAAATAATAAACAATTCATCCTGTATTTATAAAGTGAAACTTATAAGAGACCTATAAAGTACTGATTTTTTTTACTCACAACCTTGTTTTTAGGGAAAAAAAAGTCAATTGGAAGCCTTCACAGAAAAAAATTCATTTAAAATAGAAAACTTTCTAGACATGTAAAACACAACTGATTCAAAGAAATACATGAACTGATTCAAATTTCTTACACTTTCCATGAATTCAAAACATTAAAAGTATTCAGCATGATCAAACCAACAGATTTAAGACATTCTACAAAAATACAGTACTTTGATACTTTAAAAAAAGGACAATAGCAGAGATGAGATTAACTCTGGTCACAAGAAAATTTAATCAGTCCACACACTTCAAAGAATTAAAATTCCTATATAATTCAATTAGGTAGCTGGTTGAATCTAGTTTCATGTTCTTATTCAAAGAACTAGAAAAAAGTTCTTCGCAGATTTGGATAACTGCCTTTGTCCCTTCTACTTCAACTGGTCACTGAAACTGTGAACTGTATTCAAATTGTAATTTTATGTCTTTGAAACACAAAAAGGTTATGAATCAGCTGACTCAGGATTAATGTGATACCATGATGGTACATTACCATCACTGCTGAAGTATTACACATAGAAAAAAAAAACTTCCTTGAATTTTTTTCAAGTTTAGTCTTATTTCCTGAAAGCTCTACAGAGCAGGTACCCCTAAGCAAAACTTGGGGAAATATGTAGAAAAACGATTCCAGTTTATTGTGTTTGTAGAGTGATTAAATTATTATCTCCTAAACAGTAAGCTGCTCTGGATCTATGCCTAAACACTTTGTTGCATGCAATCACAAATTTGTAAAGGTTAAAAGAACTTCTTTGTTATTTTTTCTGTTTTTTTCCTTCTCTTTTTGGGTCACACTCTGCGATGCACAGGGGTTGCTCTTGGCTCTACATTCAGGAATCACTCTTGGCAGTGCTTGGGGAACCACATGGGATGCTGGGAATCGATCCCGAGCTGGCTGGATGCCAGGCAAACACCCTACTCACTGTCCTATCGCTCCAGCCAAGAACTTCTTTCTTAAGAGAATAATATCACTTTAAAGTTATAAGTGATAATCAACATTTACTTGGTTAATAACATAATTAGATAGCAAAGTTATATCATCAAAATATTGTGGATTTGAGTTCGTCATCGGGCTGGAGCGATAGCACAGTGGTAGGGCGTTTGCCTTGCATGCAGCCAACATGGCCGACCCGAGCTCGATTCCTCCGCCCCTCTCGGAGAGCCCGGCAAGCTACGGAGAGTATCTCGCCCGCACGGCAGAGCCTGGCAAGCTCCCCGTGACGTATTCGATATGCCAGACACAGTAACAACAAAGTCTCCAGTGGAGACGTTACTGGGCCCGCTCGAGCAAATCGATGATCAACGGGAGGGCCTTTACTTTTACTTTTTTAGTTCGTCATCATCCAGTTAATTTCAGTGCATTCAAATATCTTCTAAGTTGGTAAAATATATTTTTACCAGTTCAAAACATTTCATGAATACAGTTCAGTAATAAAAACAAGTTCCTCAACCTAAGTTTCGTATTGTTTACATAGCTATTTCTTAATTGGAACATCTAAACCTATAGAATAAAAGCATGTAACTACGTTCACTATCAGTTAAAATTCACACACACATATTTGTAAAATTTATGTAAGAATATGAATCAAATTATATGAAAGCCACAAATCAATATTCTCGTCCTAAAGGTACACTCTCAGCCTTTGACTGAGATGACAACAGGAAATAAGCTCTGCATTCTCAAACTCTTTCTCAGAATGTATAAAGCCATTTTGCTTTAAAACAAAACAAAAATTTTATTGGAATTCACTGCAAGGATGTAAGAAAGAATCAATATACAGAAATCAATTAATGTAATAAACCAGAGTAACAAAAGAAAAAGTAAAATTTATATTCAAATGATGTAGAGAAAGCTCTTGACAAGAGTCAACATCCACTCATGACAAAAGTCCTCAACTAAATAGGGATGAAATAAATGTTCCTCAAAATAGCAAAGGCCATTTAGCACATGCACAGCCAACGTCTAACTCAACAGCAAAACCCTGAAAATTCCCTCTGAAATCAGGCATAAGGACATGTAATTTCACTAATATTATTAAATCTATTTGTATAAGTTCATGCTGCAGCAATCAAACTAGAAAAAAAAGTAAAACAAAGGTATCAAATTAAAACTGTCACTATTTGCAGATATGATAATATACATAAACGTCTCTAATGATGCCAAAAAAATCTCTTAAAACAATATACCAAAGCAGCAAAATAGTACTCTACAAAATCAATTCATAAAATTCTATTGCATTCATGCAAATAAACTAAAATCAACTCCACTTAAAATTTTGGCTCTGGTGCTATAATTTGTTTCTTATTAAGGGGTATTCATTAACAATGCTCCACTTTCTCTAGCAGTACTTCACTGAACTGTAATAGGAAGTTTTGGCAACAATAACCACTTCTCTAAGTACAGTGTATTCAATGTGACACCCACATGTGGTGTATACCCTCGGTGATCACAGACACTGTCAATATGTCAGTGGATCAAAACATCAAACACCTAGAAAGTGTAGTCATTATTGAAAGAAAAAGGAGACCAGTAAATGAAAAATATTACATGTTCCATGAATCGAAAGATTAATGCCTTCAAAATGGGAGCCAGAGAGGTAGTTCAGTGCGTCAGGGCTCTTGCCTTGCAAGAGACTGACCAGGATCCCATATGATACCCAGAGTTCCACCAAGAGTCATCCCTGAGCACACAGCCAGGAGTCATCCCTGAGCACAGTTGACGGTACCTCCCAAACAAAACAAAACAAAACAAAACATAAAAACACTGTCAAAATCCAAATCATTATACTAACTCAAAAACCCAGGAACATTGTGATGACATTCTTCAAGAACTTCAAACAAACTCCACTGAAATATATATGGGCTACTGAAACTCCCCAGATTACCATGATCATTCTGAGAAAAAAAAAGAAATGGGGGACAGAAGTGATAGTAAAGCAGGTTGGGCTCTTGCCTTGCTTGCAGCAAACCTAGGTTCAATCCCTGGCACTACATACGGTCTCCTGAGCCCTGCCAGGAAAGATTCCTGAGATCTGAGCCAGGATAAGACTAAGCACCACCAACATGGCCCAAAACCTGTTATCCCACACCCCCACCAGAAAAAAAGAAGGAAATAAAAAAATTGGGAGGTATCATGTTTTCTAATTTAAATTATACTAATATACAACAAAGCTATAGTAACAAAAAGTGTGCTGCACTCTCAGAAAGATATACTTAGACTAATAGAACAGAACAGAGAGCCCAGAGATAAACTCTTAGATTTACAAAGAGTTATTCTATGACAAAGGAGCATAAAGTGGAATAAGGGATGTATCTTCAATAAATGGGATGGGAAAACATGCCAAAAGTGAAAATGCGGGGAGGCGAGTTAAAATGGGGACATTGGTGCTGGGAACGTACCCTGATGGAAGGAAGGATTTTGGAACACCGACTAATCTTGAACAACTTTGTAAGGGACTTCTTAGTGATTCAATTAAAAAAAATTTTTAATAAAAATGAATCTTTACCTCACATCATACACACATGTTAATTCAAAGTGGATAAAAGGATCTTAAGATAAGACCAGAACCCATATATAAATGTTATTACATCAAATTAAAACATTTTTACAAGGTAAGTAATCTCAGACCAAAGTAAAAATAGTAAGAACAGGCTGGTATACAAGGAACCCATGAAGCTTAGCAGCAAGAAAAACACAACCTCATCAAAAAATAGAAAGAAAAGATGAACAGATATTTTCCCCAAAATGACATCTGGATGGTCTTATGGAAGTGTTCATTACCACTTATAGTATCAGGAAAATGCAAATCAAAATGATGAGGTATCCTCTCCTATCAGTGAAAATGACAATTATCCAAAGGGCCAAAAACAGCCTGCATCGACATGGACGAGATAAAAAAGGAATCTTCAGTGTTGGTTGGAATGTTTGGTTCGAACTCTATGGAAAACAGCACAGTGATTTCTCAAGAGAGCTCTCATATGACCCATCAATTCCTTCTTGACATCTACACCCCAAACACAAAAAGATTAGTCTGAGAAGATGTACATACACCACACACACACACACACACACACACACACACACACACACACTCTCATTATAGTTCTAAGTACAATAGTCAGGATACTGAAAGTATTCAGATTTCCAAATACATGAATGTTTAAGAAGTTGTGAGTTATAAATGCAGCGGAATACTACATATCCATGAGAAAAGACTGAAATGTTGCAGGAATGGATATTGAGGGTATCAAGTTTATGTGAAATAAGCCAAAAGGGCAAAAGTCAAAGGATTTCACTCAGTATACGGAGAAACAAAAATAAAGCAAATAAACAGTAGCAAATGCTAACAAATCCTGGGTGCCAGATTACAGAACTGAAAACTCCAAGTCAATGGGCAAGGGTATGGGGGATTCAGGGGGAACAATGAGGTGGGCTGGGGCACAGGGACCCATGGAGAAATAATGAGGTGGACCAGGGCATGGAGGACACATGGAGGTAATGAGAGTTGGACAGGAAGTTAAACTCCGACCTCTGATACAGTCCCCCCTGTCTGCCAAGAGTGATTTCTGAACACAAAGTCAGGAGTAAGCAGTGGGCACTGCTGAGTCTGTCCCAAAATTTAAAACAAAAAAAGCATTATGCCAGTTGCCAGTCTAATTCATTTTTTTTGGGTGTGTGTGTGTCATGATTGGAATAATCCTTCCAAATGCTAAGATGCTTTCTTGCTCTGGTTTATAAGTACATAAAATGTTTGATCAACTGCTTGAGAGCATGATTGTGTAGGTGTAGCAGAGAAAGCTAGCAGAACAAAGACCCTGAGGATAGCACTGGACCATCATCCTAAACTGGCTACCTGACTTTTTCACAGACAAAAAAAAAAAACCACACAGATAAGATGTTGTCTGTTTGAGGCTGGGATTACTAGCAGCCAATTCAATCCCCAACTCATGTACTTGTACAAAGGGGCATTTTTCTCAAGATCTGAGTAAACAGTATACAACAGTCCAAGAACAAGGGAACAACCAGTGTGAAATGACTCTTTGCTTCTCATTCCTAACTTATGTTTCTTAAAATATCTGGGCTAATGAGTTGATTATTGTTTATGACTTTTCAATGAAGCAAAGCAAATTTATAAATGTCAAGCACTTGAGAATTATTATTGCATCTTATTTCTCTAACATGCAATTTTGTATGGGAATGATTTTATATGCTAAAAGTAATATAAGACATATGGAGGAACTAATGATAGGCCTTCTGGAAAAATTACAAGATAGAAAATGTCCTGTAGTAAAAACTCAATGATTTGTACCCATATCTCTCAAGATGGCAATCAAACAGACAGCAAGCAGGAGGTGGAGAATAATGACTCAGTTCTATTTCTTCTTAGAGCTCCTTCCAGTCTGACTCTGAGCAGCTTCACTTTCCCTTCTTTCTGATGGGGCCACCCCTAGAGGTGCATGGGGACTATGCAGTGCAGAGGACAAAGCCAGGTGCATGGGGACTATGCAGTGCAGGGGACAGAGCCAGCCCTTGGAGCAACCTACACGCCCTAGTCGCACTTTTGAAGCCTAAAAAGAGGAGTAGGTGAAAAGCGAAAATCAATACCTTGGCCTTACTTTCAAAAATGCTTTCTATGGAAGACATACCAACACCATTATCATCTTATAAGTGTTTCCACTATGTGCCAAGTATCTATCTATAGACATAAGAAAGATTAAAATATAGTCAGGACAGACCCTCAAATATATGTACATTTAACCTTTGATGGTGGCTGGTCCTGGAGGTCTTCGGCTGCTGGAGCCCCGGTCGGGGCGGGGAGGAAAGCTCGACCCGCTCCCCTCCAAGGGGTCCCGGCGAGGGACACCCAGGCGCGGGGGCAAAAGACAAGTTTTGGACAAACTTGCAGGCTATCGAATGTAGCCTGCCCACAGGGCAGAGTCTGGCAAACTCCCAGTGGCGTACCAAATATGCCAAATACCAGTAACAATGATGGGTCTCATTCTCCTAAAGAGTTGTGAATATAATCTCAGGGCTAGGATGAAAGAGACGTTACTGGGGCCTGCTCGAACCAATCGACGATTAACAGGATGATGAAATGATGAAATGAAATGAAAACCTTTGATAAAGAGGCAAGAAGTATGAACTGAAGCAAGGAAAGCTTCTTGTACAAGTGGTGCTGGGACAAACATGGAAGAAAATGTAAGCAAAGTTTACACTGAAGCTAAAGGTATCTTCAAAGATCAAATATCACTGATCAAGCAAGTGGAAGCAAAGATAAACAAATGGGAAGACATTAAAGTAAGACACTTCTACAACTAAAAAAGAAATGGTGTCAAGATACAAAGACAGTTCACGAAATGGGAAAAATTGTTCATACAATACCCCTCTGATGGGCTGAAGCGACAGCACAGTGTGTAAAGCGTTTGCCTTGCACAAGGCCAACCACGGTTCGATTCCTCCACCCGTCTCGGAAAGCCCGGCAAACTACTGAAAGAATATCTCACCCACACAGCAAAGCCTGGCAAGCTCTTGTGACGTAATGGATATGTCAAAAACAGTAACAACAAGTCTCACAATTTGTTGTGAGATGTTACTGGTGTCTGCTGAAGCAAATCAATGAACATCGGGAAGACAGTGATACAGTGCTACAGTGTTACCCCTGATAAAGGGTTAATATCAAAGTTTATATAGGACACTGGTAGAATTACAAAAAAAAAAATCTCCAACCCCATCAAAAAATGGGGAGACAAAATGAACAGAAACTTCCTCATAAAAGAAATACAAATGGCCAAAAGGCACATGGAAAAATGCTCTTTGTCAGTAATAATGAGGGAGATGCAGATCAAAACAACAATGAGATATCTCAAACCAGAGACTGGCACACATCCAAAAGAACAAGAGCCACCAGTGTTGGCGCAGATGTGGGGAGAAAGGGACTCTCTTTCATTGTTGGTGGGAATGCTGACTGATCCAGACTCTTTGGAAAACAGCATGATAGACATTGCTCAAAAGACTAGAAATTGAGCTCCCATTTCACCCAGCAACAACACTTCTGGGAATATACCCAGAGCCCCAAAACACACAGCAAAAACCCAATATGCACTTCTATGTTCATTTTAGTACATCCGCAATAGCCAGAATCTTGAAACAACCCCAGTGGCCGAGAACAGATGACTGGATAAAGAAACTGTGGTACATCTATACAATGCAATACTATGCAGCTGTTAGCATGAAGTAATGACATTTTCTTATGAATGGATTGAAATGGAAAGTATAATGTTGAGTGAAATGAGTCAGAAGGAGAGGGACAGGTATAGAATGGTTGCATTCATTTGTGGGATACAAAAAATATACATAAAGTATAATACTAATATCCAAGGTGAGGCTAAACAGGGGTCAGGAGGATAGGTCAATGATTGAAAGCTACTCACAAGGGCGTGTGTGTGTGTGGGGGGGGGTGAAGGGCACAGGTAAATGCATATACCTGATAACCTTTCATTATCTGTATTGCAAATCATAAGGTCCAAAAGGAAAAGGCTAGCGAGAGCGAGAGAGGGAAAGAGAGAGAAACAGAGCGAGAGAAAGAGAGAGAGAGACAGAGAAGAAAAGTGCCAGCCATAGTGGCAGGTGGTGGGATAGGGGTCAAGAGGGAAACTGGGATCACCGGTGGGAGGAAAAGTACACTGGTGAAGGGATGGGTGTTGGAATATCATATGACTGAAATCCAATTATGAACAACCCGGGTTCAATTCCCAGCATCCCAAACAGTCCCCTAAGCACCGCCAGGGTTAATTCCTGAGTGTAGAGCCAGGAGTAACCACTGTGCATCACCAGGTGTGATCCAAAAAAGAAAAAGAAAAAGAAGAAAAAAATATGTATATCTATTAGAAAAATAAGTGTATATCACTGTGATTCAATTTAAAAAAATAGAAAAAAAATAATAAAAATAAATCACCATTGGAATACATAAGGATACAAGTCAACCAATAAAACCAACAATATTTTTGCCCAAATTTCTCCAAGGAATTCCAAACCGTACCATCAAAATACAAAAAACAAAAACAAAAAAAAAAACTCACACATAATATAAATAAAATAACATAAATCTAATTAAAATTCATCTACTCAGCATCAGTTGATTCAGATTGCTAACTTTGTATGCTTTGCACACTTTTCTATACTTTGTGTGTTGGGGACCAAAACTAATGGCCTTACATATGCAGTCTCTGCTCAACCACCAAACTGCTTCTGTAGATGCTCTTTACTTTTCACAGAATGTTTATAAACCAGAGACCCACTTTTTGTTTGGTTCTTCATTTTCCTTAATTTTTTCAGGGGTGTGGGAGCCACACATGGAAATGCTCAGGACTTTCTGCTGGCAGTGCTTGGGAGACCATACGTGCTAAAGATGCAACCAGGGTCCGCTGTGGTTGGCAGGCACCGTACCTATCTACTATACATGTCTCCAGCCCGGAGATCAATTTGGAAATTGATTATACACGTGTGTATCTCATATACATAATATATACTTCTATTTATATATATAAATATATACATATATATCACACATAAGCAGTTTGAAATAATTTAAATAATCATCAAAGAACACCATTATCACAGAGATATCTGGAATAAAGTCTAGACGACAGTCGAAATTCTTTCACAATGTAGGAATTGTGTCTGCACAAGTTCCATTGAACTGTTATCTGAATTTGCAAGATAATGCAGAATCTTAAATTTTTTAAAAGTTCATTTGTATTACCTGGTACCATAATCCACAACCACCCAGTCCTTTGCGGTTCCTGCTATAGCATCATGATGTTGAAATAGTCCCAAATTCCTTCTGGCTTCTGTCAGTGCCGTGTAAAGGGGTGATGAAAGAAACTGACTTATCTCATATTTCTCAGCTTGCTTCAGGGCGAGATAGTATAGAATTTCAGCAGCCCTAATACATAAAACAATCACAGATTTTTATTTCAAAACAAATATTTTAGTTAAATATCTTAAATGTTTACTTACTGATACGGTTTTTAGCTGCTTTTAAATAATACACAATTTTGGTGTGATTTATAATCTTTCAATATTTCAATAGGCCAATAATGATCAATCCATCATATCTTAATTCCCTCCACTCAAAAACTTCTTATGTGAACTTATATTAAGGCACTGGTAGTTCTAGATGAGCCTATAAGAAATCAATATCCATAAGGTAGGGCAATATCCACTGGTAGTCAATATCCACTATTCATAGGCTTACTGATGGCTGGACAGTGAAGAGAGCTCCACACAACAGTAAGAGATTTATAAATAATTCCATCCTTTCTTCTCCTGTGCATACAGAAGGAGGGACAGTGGGAATACTGAATCCTCACAGGACGAGGGACACTGGAGACAGTGATGCCCACGGCTCAGTTAAGACTATGAGTTGATGATAAAAAAAAAAAAAAACAGAAAAACTATATTGTTGGGGCTGGAGCGATAGTATAGCGGGTAGGGAGTTTGCCTTCCATGCAGCCTGGGTTCGATTCCTAGCATCCCATATGGTCCCCTGGACACCACCAGGGGTAATTCCTGAATGCATGAGCCAGGAGTAACCCCTGTGCATTGCCAGGTGTGACCCAAAAAGAAAAGAAAAAAAAATCCTATATGGAGATTTTATCAAAATAAACTAAAAGCTAGTAATATATAAACTACCTTTCTCACTTTTTAACAAAAGAAATTTAACAAAAGTAACAAAAGGAATCCTTTAAGATTAGCCTTAAACAAGAATGTGGAAGATTTCCAATATTTACCTTTTCTCATCATGATAGTTCAGGGGAGGATTCTAAAAAGTTCTTTAAAAGAGACATGGTTTGAGGAAATAAAAATATAAGAAGATTCGCTGCGTCAAACTGTCTTTGACAAAGAAGAAAATCATCACAGCAACTTTAAAATGTATAAAAGTATTCAAGAGCCAAGAGCCGTTCATAACTTCCTGTGGGGAAGGGCTGGCTGGACATAGCCAGCTACTCCCGGCCTGTGTCTCTGAGTTACTCCTGGCGGTCTCAGAGGACCATCTGCGGGGAGGGCTGGGTGGACACAGCCACTCCCCTCAGCCTGTGTTTCTAGGTCACGCCTATGATGCCTATGGTCTCACAGGACCATCTGTGGTGCCGGGACCAGCCTCAGACAGTTGCACGCAAGGCGAGTACTTTAGCTTCTGTATATCTCTCTGACCAAGTTCAGAGTACATTTTGTGTGTGTGTGTCGGGGGGGGGGGGGCGCACCTTTAAATTGTTGAAATAACAAAAAGTGAAAAGATACTAAATAACTTCCACTTTTAAATCCTATCCTTTCTGAAATTTATTGTATGAGAATCATTAGTTAAAAAATCCGTTCATACCTGTTCAGATATATTAATAATGAATGTTCATGGTTTCATTATTACTTTTGGTTTAAAATAATATCGACAATGGTTTCTCATGGACAGTGCTACAAGAACACACCGGTCACCAGCATACCCACCTCCCTCCCCCAAGGACCCAACACCATGACTATTATTTTTTTCAAATTTCCTAGAGAAACTTTAGTCCACAGAGAACTACATTTAGTTTAAAGCAACACCGTGATTTTAAAGGATACATAGACATTTGATATTAAAAAAAAGAAACAAGCTAATTTTAAGACTTATTTTCAATAACTTCCCATTTTGTCAACATTATTTACAAATAATCATTAGGATAATCTGCAACTATTACCAGACAATAAACCTATTTTCAAATAAATTACATTTGAAATTCACAATTTTAGTATAGGATTTTTTTTATTTTTATGGTAGAATTTTCAAAATATATTGCCTAAAGTATTTACATCATTTTAAATATGCTCAGTAAATATAAACTGAACAAATATTCAAAACTCTTGCCAGAAAATACTAGCAATTCAAAGAAAAAGCATCCAAGCTCTAAAGAAACTATTATTTAGCACTTTCTATTCTTTTTTACATTCAGAATACACAGCAGATATAGCACATCTGAACAGCACTTGTTTATATGTTTGTCTGCTGTTTGAGGCCACACCCACTAAGGCTCAGGGCTACTCTGAGATAGCACTTCTGGATCATAATAGTGGTGACCAAGGGGTTACACTGTGCTCCAGCGCTCTGAACATTCATATTTATTTTCCATACAAATTTACCATATACATTCATTACAGCCATACGGAATTACCTGGCATAAGCACTATTCACAATTATCAGAATCACTCAGGACAAGAACTGAGTGCTGAAAGGAGATGAATAACCTCCCAGTATCTATTTCAGAGAGAGAGAGAGAGAGAGAGAGAGGTTTTTGCCATTGGGGTGGGTGAGAGGGAAATAGGACATTCGTGATGGGAAATGTACAGTGGTGAAGGGGCAGGTGTTGGAACACTGTATGACTGAAACCCCATCATCAACTTTGTATCTGTGTATTTCATGATGATTCAATAAGGAAGGGAGGGAAGGGAGGGAGAAAGGGAGGGAGGGAGGGAAGGAGGGAGGGAGAAAGGGAGGGAGGGAAGGAGGGAGGGAGGGAGGGAGGGAGGGAGGAAGGAAGGGGAGGGAGGGAGGGAGGGAGGGAGGGAGGGAGAAAGGGAGGGAGGGAGGGAAGGAAGGAGGGAGAAAGGGAGGGAGGGAGAAAGGGAGGGAGGGAGAAAGGGAGAGAGGGAGGGAGGGAGGGAGGGAGAAAGGGAGGGAGGGAGGGAGGAAGGAAGGAAGGAAGGAAGGAAGGAAGGAAGGAAGGAAGGAAGGAAGGAAGGAAGGAAGGCAGGCAGGCAGGCAGGCAGGCAGGCAGGCAGGCAGGCAGGCAGGCTTACCATATATGTCAAGTGTTATTTTTTAATTTTATTTCAAGTATCATGGTTTACAAAACTGTTAATTTTAGGGCTTCCTGCATGACGCAGTCTCTGTCTGCTCCCCTCCCCACTGTCCCAGTGTCCCAAGCCTTGAGCTCCTTCCTACTTCCCTCCTGCCTCCCTGTGGTAGATTCCTACTAAGGATTCCTACTCAAGAGCAGTTCTAGTTCCCGTTGCCTCTGGGTGTTTGTTATACCCCTATTGTGTTTATTTTCTCACAGGAGAGATCATACTGTGTCTATCCCTCTCTGTCTGAGTAACTTCACTTAAAAAATCCACCCACAGAGAGAAATTACATGATTCTACATTTTTAAAAAGGTGAATAGTATTCCATTGTACATATCTACCAATGTTTCTTTATCCAATCCCAAATGTTAGTCTTGAGGAATAACAATGACACATCAGTACCAAGAATAAAACAAAACTCTGTATCAGAGTATATAATCCCTGGAGAAATTAATGAATTTTATAGATTTTCTAAACACATTCTATTTCCACTAGCTTATAGAAGGTATATGTATGATATAGCTTCACTTTTAACACTGAGATTTATCATGAAAATTATGAATCAACACGAACTTTTAATTTGAACTGAGTTGAAAATATATTTCTCATGGAGATGAATGGGTGTGTTGGGTGCTCGAATGACGCACCCCTCAGGGCAGTCTGATGACACGGGGGACAGTTTCCCAGAAATAATCCCCTTCAGTTTCTAGGAACATAAATTTTTCACCGTGGTAGTCACAGGACAGATTTTACAAAAGTGCCATGATACAAGCTTCTGAGAGTCTACATGAGATGTGAGACTCAGCGTGCTCTGTGCCCGCCATCAAGTGCCAATATACCCCCATCACTGTCCACAGGCCCCACACCGTATCACAGAATGTGCCTCAGGTAAGTGACTAAGAACTGAGGTGAAGCTTCTTATATTCTTCCATATGGAAAATAAACGAGCTCTGGGGTTTGAACTCTGGGATCCACATGCACAGCCCTACTTTCTCCTTTGATCTTCACACCTATTTCAGCAATTCAGTTAACTATCCATAGAAACATCTGATTATGTCCCAGCATATTGTCACAGCATGCAAAAAATGAAGATGATTAGAAAATATAAATACAGAGTACAAGACACATAAAATTACAAGAACTGCTGAGAAAAAAACCCATGTAATAAGTGAATTATGCTTTAGAGATATATCTGATTGTACAATTTCAAAATGACAGTAAGTAAATTCTAGCTGCATAAAAGCGACATATTACATATGACTCTACCAAAAGACTCTTACAACAGAAAAGACAGCATCAAGAGACGGAGCTCTCCCCAGCACACATACCTTATATGGGACTCTAATATCCGATCTAATCGCTTGTAAAAGGGCCTGGAGGTGAAGTAGCCACTCCAGTAATGGTCATCTCGGTCAGCGTATGTGAAGAAATCTCCACTTGCCACAGGGAACAGGCCAGGCTTATTCTTGGCATTTTCTATCTCTTCCTTATTCAAGGCATCAAAGTAATCAGACAAAGTCCCAAACTGGATCTAGTAAAAAGACAAAAGTGACACTTCAATTATTTCTCTCCATCCTGAAATGACTTCTAGCACTGAAAAGTCACATACAAGGGGCCTGGAGCCGGAGGACACTGGGGAGTGCGCTTGCCATGCACACGGTTGACCGGGTTCAATCCCCAGCAGCCCACAAGGTCCCCCGAGCCTAGCCAGGAAGATTACTGAGTGCAGAGCCAGGAGTAAGCCCTGAGCACTAGTAAATGTGGCCCCCAAACAAAAATACCACAACCTCACCCAAAAGATAACCACTAAACAGGAAAGATTATAAACATTTACAATGAGCTTTCAAGTCAAGACATATATGCAGTTCAGATTTTACAAAACTCGAATGCAAAAGGAGAAAAGTGGGCCAGAGAAATAGCTTAAAAGATCATGTTTTGCATGTATGAGACCCTTGGTCCAACCCTGGGTTCAACTGCATACCCTCTGAAAATCTGTGTCCGCCACTATGAGCACTGAGCAGTGAACAGTGAACTGGTGTCCAAGCAACACCCAGAGTGGTTCTTAGCAACTCTGGGAGAGCAAGAACACAGCAGGGAGGGTGCTGGCCTTATTCACAGCCAGTCTGGGCTCAATACCCAGCAACCTATATGGCCCCTGGAGCCTGCCAGGGCGATCCCTGAGCACAATGCCGGGAGTTCTTACACATACTTGGCTGTGTCACCCCCACGCTAACTTCACACAGGCATGGTCCGTTCATTCGCATCAGGCTCCAAATTAAACTAATGGAGGAAGATTTATACACATCAGACACCAGAAGGGCTATTTAGATGAACAAATGTGAGGATATGAAAATTTCTTACATGTCTCTAGAATTTTAAAATGTGCAAGAATCACAGCACGGAATAACGCAGAGACGAGAATCATAGGAAAGGAGCAAAATGTAGAGACTGATTGGATCAAATGTTTCCGAAGTCTGGAAGAACAGCTCTGCTAGTAACTGAGCAACTACGCCAGAGCCATGCGCACATACACACAGTTCCTGCACCTCCCACGCTTCCTCAGTTTGACCTTTTGTAAGGAAGACAGAAGACACTTTAAGAACAGCAAGTAATTTTTTTTAAAAAAACAGGACTTCGTCTACCAGCAGGTAACACTGAATAAAAACTCCTAAGACATGAACCATACGAACTGCAAGGTTGACTGTTCAATCTTACTAGTTTCTGAAAGCTTCTCCAGAAAAGGTCTTAGCAATAATTTAAATAACCAATATATAATCCATACTGAGTCCCAACTAGTGTACGAAAACCAAGGGAAAAATGAAACACCCTGAGAAACCTTTACCCAGATATTTAAAGGTAATGGTGTTACAAATGCACTGATTGGAGGGCAGGTGGGGTGGGAATATGCTCCTGTTAGTAACAGCAAGCTCCTGATGTTGTTGGTCCCTACTTCCACATGCGCTCACAAAGATAGAAATTGAGAGTCCTTTAGAGTCCATTTGGCAAAAAAATAATGGAATGGCTGAAAGCAGTCAACAGCACCCTAGCAGGGCAGTGGGGCTGGCAGAGTCCACCTCCCATGCTAATGCATGATGGACGATGTCTGTGGGTTGTGTCATAGTGAACAGGGTTCTGAGCAAAAGCCTTCAAAACATGATGGAAGACGATGTGCTTATCTGTCACCTCTCCACTATGCGGGCAGAATTTCAGTGAGAAGTAAATTGGGGCAATTGTGAGAGCCTCTTGGGCATTTCTCTGGTTTTTAAAAACATTAAGTTTCAACTACAGCATCTATTCTTATTTTGGTTTCACCAGTCTAGGCCAAACTGCTTTATTTGTCTCTCAGTTCCCTTATCCATAAGCAGAGATTATAGTACCTTTGAAAATTAACCAAAGGGGCCGGGGTGATAGTACAGTGGAGGATGCTTGCCTTGCATCGGGCCTACCCAGGTTCGACCATTGCTATATCAACTGGTTCCCAAGAACTGTCAGGAGCGATTCTGAGTGCAGAGCCAGGAGGAAACCCTGAGCATTGCCGAGGTCATAAACCGTTTCCCGTGGGAAATAAGGAAAAAAGAAAAGAAAAGAAAAAGAACCAAAGACTTTACTAAATTAAAGTATAGCACTTTAAAAACCTAGTACTGTAGCACTGCTCATCGATTTGCTCAAGTGGGAACCAGTTAACGTCTCCATTGTGAGACTTGTTTTTACTGTTTTTGGCATATCAAATATGACACGGGGAGCTTGCCAGGCTCTGCTGTGCGGGGAGGATACTCGCGGTAGTTTGCCAGATTCTCCAAAAGGGATGGAGGAATCGAACCCAGGTCGGCCACATGCAAGGCAAAAGCCCTACCTGCTGTGCTCTTGTTCCAGCCCTTAAAAAGCTTAATAGCTAATAAGCACTAGTAATATTGTGTTACTTCTCAACTGCAAGTCTACGCTGATTATAATAAAAGGTAAAGGCCCTCCCATTGATCGTCGATTTGCTCGAGCGGGCCCAGTAATGTCTCCATTGGAAACTTTGTTGTTACTGTGTCTGGCATATCAAATACTCTCAGTAGCTTGCCGGGCTCTCCGAGAGGGGCGGAGGAATCGAACTCGGGTCGGCCATGTTGGCCGCTTGTAAGGTGAACGCCCTACCTGCTGTGCTATCGCTCCAGCCCGATTATAATAAACGAAGTGTTAATCATTTTCTATAGCACATATTATAACATAGGGAGCAGAATATAAGTATGTGTGTGAACATAAAAGTCAGATATACAAAGACATTTCACATGAATTGAATCGGTTCAGGTGAACTCAATCAAGCATTCAAATTGATAACAGAAATATTCAACAATCTAAAAATTTCTGATTTCCTCACTTATATAATGAGGGCTTTACAGTAAACATTTCTTTCTATTTTAAATTTTCATATTCTCTGGCATGTTTCTAACAACATATACCCTTTTAAGATACTTAATTTCTGACACTGCCCAGGATGAAAATAATTTATTTATTTATTTTTTGGGGGGGTGACACTGTTCTGTACTCAGAGACCACGTCTCATAGAGCTCAAACATCAAACTCATGCTGGCTGTGTGCTAGAAAAGCACCTTACTCTGTGTGCTTTCTCTCTAGTTCCCAAAGATAATTTTTTCTTGCTAGTTTTCCAAAGCCAAGTTTAAGTGGCCTTTGATTCTTTCTCACAAACTTAATTCAATCTTAAAGGACTGCATATAATTTTTCACATGTGAGGTTAGCTTTAAAAGGAAATGCTTAAAATAAATTTTTCTATAATCCTTTGTTGGCTCAAAGAAAATAATTGGATGCCTAAAACCAAAACCAAATAAAGATGCCAAAATTATTTTATTATTAAAAGGCAGTACATCATATCTTCTGTGAAACAACATTATTTCAAGATTATTTCTAGATAAACTCCTCTATCAGGATACAGGAAAAATTACATAAATGATTCAATAAGAATAGATGTCACTCACAAATAGGCCATCTTGCTTATCACTGTTTTAGCCAACTTAACTCAAAGATTTTTATTTTTCATTTGAAGAATAATAAATCAGTACTCTCAAATTAGGCAAAACAACTTTAAATATCCCACAGAGAACAGGTATAACTGTTCACATGGGGTGGGGGGCGATGGTTTAAAAGCTCTTTAAAGGGTCAAAAATTCTGGTAAAGAAAATAATTACAACAAGGTTCCTGGGTACAGTGCATAATGTAAAAATCAGTTTTATTTTTATACAGGGAAGAGACCAGATTTATCAAGATATGGCCCCGAGCCCTTCAGGAGCGACTCATAGTCAGAGCAAGGAAGAAGCCTGGGCCCGAGGGGCAGGCTGAGACAGAACAACAGCATACTATTTTCAGATCAGGAAAACCTGGACAGGGATATTGAATCAGCGATCACTTTTACTTGAGACGTGCTGTCTTGGTCTTTCTGACACGGGCACACATACTACAGTGGCTGCAGACAAACAGGATGACGCCTGAGATACACTAAGGAATCACCCAGGGACAGGAAGGGGTGGAACTGGAGAGCTGTCAGCGGGGCCTCATGGCCGTCTCCATCAGCCTTGGAGTGCGTGAAGGAGCACACTCGCTCTTTGCAAACTTCAAGGCATACTTTAAATGTGTCTTAAGTTACAAAAAAGGAGTAGAAACTATACAGGCCAACGATTAATTTTAGCTATCTGATTTAAGGAAGTACTATGTGTTCTAGATGAAAGACACTTGTTCGTAATATTCATAGCATGTCCCTCTGTGTCTGTGTGTCATACAGCTGTATCACAAAACGCTCAACTCTCAAGTGTAGAGAAACAGGACGGACACCACTGAGAAACATATGCAAGGGGGTGCATATTTTCAACCACAATCACGTGATTTGATTGGAAAAGGAAAAGCAGACAAGCATGAACCAAGAAACTAAGGCACATACACGTAACTCAGTACAATTCCCTCTCATAGAAGAGCTGCAAAATACTGGGGTACCAGTCAGAGAAACTCAGGCAGGCCACTGTGCTTCATTTCCTAATGAAAGCTGGATCGCAACTCACTATTTCCTTATTACCTTAACATTAAGCCCAGGTTGAGAATTCATGTAGTCAAATAGCATCTGATAGTTCTTGTACTGAGAATCCCATTCCCGGCGTTCACAGTAGCGGAAATCATCCCCCAGGGGTGCCAGGACAACGTTAGTGCGGAAAAGTTTAGATTTCTTTCGGTACTGGTCTAGAAGGAGCTCAGCTCTACAAAAGAAAAGGGGAAATGTGTATAGCCTGATGAAGAGGACAACATCAAGAAGCATTTTCTTCAACAAAATGATAATGTATATTTTACCCATATTCCTGATGAGTATGATTTACAAGGCAGTCTTAGAAGCTACCATATTGTCATGATCCACTTAGAAGATTCATGTGAAGTAAAGTGAACACCAAGACCATAAATTTCAACACCATTTTAAACACATTACCATTTCTATAATAAATTTAAAAATTAAGATTTATGATGTTTTATCAGTTTTCAAAAATTTAATCATTTTCCAATGGTTCATCATATGGAAATAAAGTCATGTCAGTGTATGGTTAGAGGGAGCATTAATGCCTTCTTCATGTCCAGTCACAGAGACTAGACCCTACATATGTGCTTTAAAAGTTTGAAGTATTTCTTAGCCGTATTTAAAACTGCCTAATTAACTATCACATAGTTTTGGGGAAAAAAATCTTAAGACTTGATTTCCTCTTCAAAAGGAGTAAAATCAACCTCACACCAGCCATCATTGTGCTTCCTGATTCCTTGCTGTAGTCCTCAATGCTGATCAAAAAATAAAGATTAGGAGTCAAATGTGCTATTTGGTATCCACCTCCCTAAGCTCTAACCCACAAATCATAAGGTCAATCGAACAGAAAAGTGATATGCTTTTCTATTTCAGATTCTAGCATGATGCAGGAAGCCTTTGGGAAATGTTGAGGCACCATTTGAAGAAATCTGGGAATATAAGCATATAAGCAAGAGAAAGAATAAAAAAATTAAATTTAAAAAGAAGCAGTTATTTATTTTTATGAGAACACAAATTACTAATAAATAACAAATATATCAAACTCAGCATTACAACTGCCAAGTAAAGGGTTATTCAGAAATAAATTTCAATTTAGAATGCAAAATCTCATGAAGAAACTCAAAGAACATGAATGGAAAAGAGGCATCTTACAGAAATTATGAAAAACACTTAAATTTAGAATCTCATTGTATCTTCAATATTGATAGTATCTGAAAACACTGCAACTAAACTGTTAGCAAAAATGTAATCGCTCAGAGAGTAAAATGTAACCATAATATTCCTATATAACAATGCTTAAGTTTTATAAAATCAGTATTTAGAAGTTACATTTGACTAGTAATTTAATAATTTCATATTTCTCCAACATAACTTTATTTATAATAAAAATACATGCACAATGATATTAACCATACAGTATGATAAATAAGAACCAAAAACATATATATACATCATAGGTATAAACTACTACTCTGCTTGCTCATCCCCTCTCTCCCACGAAACAAGCTGAAGCACGATATGGGAATCTTAAATGCATTCCTAAGTTCACTGTTTGGTATACCACCTCTCACATATAAAACCTCAAATATTAACGATAACTGTTTCATTTGGAAACTGTTTCGCTGGATGACTGTTTGGAATCTGTTCTAATTCTCCACTCCCGCTCTTAATGTGGGAAGTCAACAGCCACGGTCAGCAGAAGTGGAGGTTTCCTCTATGGAATATGGAGGGGGCAGTGGCTGGCAGGGGCTCCTGGGCCAGCAGCTGACGGGCGCAGGGCTGGGATGGCTTATGAATGAAAAAAAGTGCAACTAAGAGTACTGTGAATCCCACTGCTGCAGTAAAAATGGTAAAAAATAAAATCAAATAAAAAAATCAATGACTAATTTTCAAAAGGCAGAGTCTCCTGCCCCCACGCCTGGCTGTCCTTTCCAAGGCCCCTTGGAGGGGGCTGGGTTGAATTTCCCTCCCTGCCCCAAGCAGAGCCCCGGCAGCCGAAGACCTCCGGAACCAGCCACAACCATGCTGAGACCACTCTCCACAGGCATGAAGGTACCAGCAGAGGAACAAAGGCACGCGGGTCCCGGGGCTGAGATCTCCAAGCCTGCTTGGATCAGTGCTGAGCATCCTCCACCCAGATCCTTCATCTTCCAGTAGGCAGGGGTCACACCCACCAACTGCCCCCCCTCCCCCCCTTCCCCGCGCCGTGTAATCCCATCAACGGCCAAGACCCAGAGACTATAAAACCCAGCTCATTCTGACTTTGGACAACCTGGCAAGCTACTGAATATAACCTGCCCACACGACAGAGTCTGGCAAACTCCCCGTGGCATACCCAATATGACAAATACCAGTAACAACGATGGGTTTTATTCTCTTAACCCTGAAAGAGCCTTGATTATGGCACTTTTTTAAATCTCAGGGCTAGGGCGAAGGAGACATTACTGGTTCCTGCTCGAGGCAATCGACCAACAACAGGATGATTGTGATCGAATTTTCAAAAGAAAGAGAACTTTCCTCTCTCTGCCCAGCTGAGAGCTGATGAGGAGCATGCCACAGCCTCGCCCAGCCCACAACTCTTCTCCTGGAGAGTGCAGTCCTTCCCCTCCTCCTCCACTCTGCCACCCCCTACACCTTTCTGCCATGTTATATCTTGTATTTTGATTCGATGCCTGACTGGCCTACCCTGAGCAAGCAGGAGGTTCGGTGTCATGTACTGATTCTTACTGCTGAAGGAACTAAGAAAATGAAACTAAGTTGATGCATAAGTCTGGTCAAAACCACTGATGTCATAGTGAGAGAAAGGGTGCCCAGGGTGCCCGGGTCCCAGCAAACATGCTGCCATGTCTGTTACTGTGAGGCTCAGACGGAACAATCTTTATAGAATCACAACTAAAGATACCCAGTCTGACTTTTTCCTCACATACATCTTTAAAAAAAAAAAAACTTTTTATTAAACAACCCGGTAGGACCATAGCAACTTTGACAGGCAAGTTGTATAGATGACACCAAGCACAATGAGCAAAATGATATATACATTTTTTTAAAAGCTCTTTTTTAAAAATAGATAGATATGACCATAATGCTATGTTACTTTTCCCAGTGGACTTGTTTTGTTTTACAACATGATGTTTTAATTATGCACAAACAGTTTTTAAATGAAGAAATAAAATTTTGAGAGGACCAAAATTAGAACTATATGTACAAGGGCATAAAGAGTTGCTTCTATAACTAACTCAATTTTCTTCAAAACAAAAAGATTAATTCCTTTGATTTTTACTTAAGTATCTTAGAGTATAAATATTCCTAATTAAAATTTTCAGTAAGTCAAAAACATCAGAAAGATAAAAAGATGTGTATTCATCAGAATGGAGAATTCATTATTACTAAAACTGTTATTAAGGGAGCATATATAATTACACTCCTTATGTGTTCTATTTCTATAAATGTGTTTTTACCATTGGATTGCTTTTCTTACAGATTTATATAATAGACCAAAAGTTTTATGATCAACCAAAGCACATGAAATCAATCAAATACAGTAGAAGGATTTTGTAATGGGAGCAAAGGCGATGGTAATAACTGGATCTCAAATTGCCCACTGTACAATGATCTAGTGTTCTTCATTTTCTACTAAGCTGTAACACATGTGGCCCAGTGGGGGCGCTGGCATTGTAAGCCCCTCCATCTGGTCTGGAAGAATACCTTGACTATGCTGACAACTAAAAGCCACTTACTCCACCCTTCAGCAAAGGGCAGCTGAGCTGCTTCTGAGATTGAGATGAAATGCCTATTTTCATACCTGCTTTGGACATTTTGATGAGTTATTGCTTCTGGGGGGATTCCCCAGGGACAACCAAACCTGCCTCCAGGTAACCGTTTAAAATCAAACTGGCAGCATATCTTGGGGTCTGGCCCGCAGGTGTGAGGGATGTCGTAGCTGTAGAAAGGCATCATGTGGCAGAATATGTCCGTGTCAGAGCCCAGATCTGGAACACAGAGCCAAAACACAAACCTGCATTCAGATATTCTGTGTTTCCCAAAACTGTTCAAAATCCATACTTTCCACATAGAGCAAATACTAATATACACCCACAACCCCGTTAACTACTGGCACTATGTCCCAGCAGCACTGATATCTACCTACTAAAGGAAAACCTCATGCCTCATTCTCTCTCTAACTCTTCTGTTTCAACTTAGCTGTGACCTGAAAAACCCGGGGTGACCCTGCACATGCTGACCTGGAAGACACAGATGGAGCCAACACACCAGTTAGAAAGGGCTTGTCCAGACCTAATGGTCAGTGCCTGCCACATCTGTCATCAACCTAGTGGGAAACTTGTGAGACAGGATTATAGTAGCTCAAAGAGGCTGAGTGAGAAAAGAGGCAGTCACTCGAGGAAAGGGACAGATGGGATACTGGGGGCTTCTGAAAATACAGGGCCAATTCCAATTCTTTCACTTTCCATTCCAATTCTTTCTTTCTCTTCACTTTCTTCGAATTCTTTCGATTCTTTTCTTTCACACAGCAGCGTAAGGGAAGTATGGACTGGGAGTCTATCTCCTGTTCACTGAAGGTCACTGGAACTCTTTAGCAGGAAGATTCAGAGGAAAAGAACAGGTATGTTTCATAAAAACAAAGAGGACAAAAGAGGGTGTGGGAGATGCACACGGATCCCATGGCAGAGCTGTGAATGAAAACCTTTGGGACAGCATGTGCTGCTCTCTCTGCCCCAGAAGTGAGACATCTGACACGCAGTGAGATCAGAGAAAAATTCAACTAGCAGCTAAAAATGACTCTTCGTATGATCTTGACCTCTGAGTACCTCCACCCTTTTATTTATGTATGCATTTCCAATTTCCAGCAATGGATTTATCACTTTCATACTAGAGAAAAGGGAAAAAATCTATTTCAAAGAATAAAAATAACTGCTTCATTAGAACCAACACACACAAAGAAGCTCAACTCAGTTGTAAAACATGCTTTTAAAGCAATGGAGAAGTGCATATGAGAGACGCCCTGAAATAGCACATTTTTTTTCTCGCCTCCATCCCTTCAAACAATCCTAAGTTGATGCTCCCATTGAAAAGCTACTTCAGTGGGTGTTGGCGCAGTCCCAGGGTCAGGCGCAGACACTGCTGGCTCCTGCAAGCGCCCAGAGCTTCTCCCCGCCCCTGAAGGAGGAGACTTCTGATCCCTTCCTCCTCTGACTCAAGCACACTCCCCCACCTCACCACACATCTCCCTACTAGCAGCTCATGTACACATTTCAGCAGACCAACTGCATTCAGTGTTATTTGCCTTTTATAAAATTAGACTAATTTCCTGTTAGGCAACAACGTTTTCTATATTTCTTCCGACGCTTTCTATATTTCTTAATACTTATGGTATTAAGTTCATAAAAGTTCTTGGTACTTTCTTACTGATTTATATTTACGGGCAACTTGAATATAGGCAATTGTTTAAGTAGTGTTGCTTCAATTAGTAATCATTCACTAAATAGTTACCATGAGGGGCAAGAGATATAGTACAGTAAACAGGGGCTTTGCATACATGCTGCTGACCAGGTTCAATCCCCGGTGCCCCAGAGGGTTCCCTGAGTCCCACCAGGAGTAATTCCTGAATGCAGAGCTGGGAGTAAGCCCTGATCAAGTTGTATGTGTCTCCAACCCGACAAAAATGTTAATATGACTCTTTACATTTTGGCCGAACTATCCAAACTATAACCCTAGACAAATCTTGTTTTCCCCAAACATTTAATTTTCCAAATTAAGAAATTACCTAACTTATATCAATATTTACAAATGATTTTCTGTACATTTTTAAGGGAAAGTCTATAGAACACAGAAAGCAAATATAAAATATAGCAGTAATTCTGGACACTACTATCGATAAGATTCTTCAGTCAGCTAGTCTTATGAGAACTCAATAATGGAAAGACAATGTGTGCCAGAACAAGGCCTGGCCTTCAAAAACTCGAAAAAAATATCTTAGCTTTACCCTTCCTTCCTGTTTAACTTCTGACAACGAATTCATGTCATCTATGACTTTAATTCTTCACCGTTTAAAAGGGTGAATGACTAAGCAAAATTTCAAAGATCACTGTTCCAACCCATCAAGAGTGGTGACAGCAGATATAAGCCAATGTGCAGTTCACTGTAAAACCTAACATATGAATAAGAAATCGGAGGGTGGGAAAGGCAAAGACCTCTCTGGTGGACTAACCCTTGCTTTTCTTTTCTTCCTCAACTAAGAGCTGCAGAAGTGTATCCTTGGGATGTTTGGGTGCCTACAACACTCAACAAAACTAGATACTACAGGAAGTAGGAGGGCTCTGGGAATCAGCTTCTGAAAGGCTCACTTTACTGTGTGTGGGAACCAGCCGGAGGAAAAAAAGGGCACTGGCTGACGCCAAGCTAAGCAGCCCACTGACTTTGCTCCCAAACCTGGCCCACTTCTGACTTTGTTTGAATCCTGTGGCCAGTCCTGGCAGTGGACACCTACTCTCATATCATGGCCCCCAACTTAGGCAATTTTCCTCCTTATAACCCCCTGGAATAAACTGGAATCTACTTTGAATATATGGCCAGGCTGAGTAGCACTGCTTTAAGCCAAGTTCAACTTTGTGAGAAAAAAAAAAAGACGCCTTTAAAAACAGAAGTTAAAATCATTTAAAAGCCGAGTCCTAATATTTATTTACTTCCTTAGGCATTGCCATGCTCTTTAGGCAAATATCTTCACTACTGCTTAAAAAATCTTGACACAAATACTTAGGAAAAATAACTCAAAGAATGAGCATCTTTAAACAACCAGGTTTCACGATATGAGATCCTGATTCTTATGAGGCAGGGTCCAGTGAGATAGTAACATAATCAAACCTTTACATACCCCAATTCTGTCTCCAAAAAAATTCCAGTGTTTTGTGCAAAGCAAAATATTTTTTAACTGCATAATGCACTCTCTGGATCAACATACGAGAAAATCCAGCACGTTTTAGAAGATAAGCCATTGTTGGTGAATGTCCAAAAGGATCAATAGCCCAACCGGATCGAGGTTTCACTCCTGTTGGTAAAGAAAATAAGTATTATTCTTTAACAGTTATAAATTAAGTAATAAGTTACAAAACATTCAAATCCAACAAAGTTCACTGGAGCGATAGCACAGTGGTAGGGCGTTTACCTTGCACGCAGTCAACATGGCCGACCCGAGTTCGATTCCTCCGTCCCTCTCGGGAGAGCCCGGCAAGCAACCGAGAGTATCTTGCCCACACGGCAGAGCCTGGCAAGCTCTCCGGGACGTATTCGATATGCCAAACACAGTAACAACAAAGTCTCCAATGGAGACGTTACTGGGCCCGCTCGAGCAAATCGATGAACAACGGGAGGCCCTTTACCTTTACCTTTTAATTCCAGTACAAACACATAAAAAAGTTATAAAAAATAGTTAATTTCAAGGCTGAGGCCAGAAACATACAAGATAAGACTAATTCATATTACTGGGTCACAAGATTTAAAAAAAGAAAGGAAAACCAAAGAATCAAGGGAATACATTAAAATAACTCAGGAAAACAACCTGAAGGAACTTCCTCTGGCCAAGCTGGAGAAAACTGTGGTGTCAAAATATGGCAGCACTACATTATACCCTACTTAATAAGAATCCAAGAGCCCACAGATGAAAGAAAATGGAAAATTCTTCCTTTTAATTGAATGTCAACTATTAGAGAAGGAATAAAACAATTTCCTCAGTGGATCCTAAAAGTACAATAAGAAGCTTGATGAGCAACACTAGTATTCTCGATATATCTCCCACAAATTAATTAAGTAGGAAGGGGGTAAAAGCAACCATACAACACAGAAACAACCAGTACAACAGGAAGCTCTACCTGACAGAACTATGTGAGAAGGACATGAAGTCAGCCCAAGGGCCATCTATCAAAATAGATCAAGCAAGATACTAATCCTTGCATGACAGGATTCAATAGGAAATACCCTGCTCTATCCATGAGGAAGTAGACAAACTCAACTTTATCCAATAGAGAACTCTCTCTGTCAATATCAAGGCCATTATGGGCCAGAATCACCCAAGTACAAGGGGAAACCACCTACCCTGGGCTCATTAGCATCAATCCTCTCACCTAAAAGCACTCTGCTGGTAGGTGAACAGTCAGGAGTAGCTTTCCTAGTTGGGAAAAAATGCTCAGTTTTGCTCTTTTATATACATATATATATATATATACATATATATATGTGTGTGTGTGTGTATATATACATATACATACACACACATATATACACACATATATATACACACACACATATGTATTAATTTCTTTTAAAGAACTATGACTTACAATCAGTGGTAGTTGATTTTTAGGTATACAATAATTCAACACCAATCCCTCCACCACTGTTTCCCTCTCCTCCCAAACCCCCAGCCCTCCCTGCCTGCTGGCTTGGCATGCACATTACAGTTTCAGTGGTCGCTGCTTAGAGCTCAAGTTTACAGTTCCGTAGAATCTGTGTTTCGAATATATGGCTCTACCTCTCCCCCAGATCACTAGGATAACTAAAGCCCTGATGCCTTTTCAAGCATTACTTTTTGCTCTCTTCTTCCTCCTTGATTTCTTTCCTTCCCTGTCCTCCTCTCTAAACACTGGGGTCGAAGATATTCTAAGCATCCCTCTTTTACTACATTTCCCCATCCAGTGTTCTATATCCCACAGATAAGTGAGGTCATCCTGTGTTTGTCCTTCTTCTGGCTTACTTGAACATGATACCCTCCAGATCCAACCAGGTTACAGCAAATTAGTCACTGATGGACTCAGGACAATAGCTAAGACATGGAATCAGCCAAGGTGTCCAGTGACAGATGAACAGATTATGAAGATGTGGTGTATATATACACAATGGAATACTATGCAGCTGCAAGGAACAATGAAATCATGCAACTTGCTTTCTACTGTTTTTAAAAAAGAAAGAACAAAATCCAGAAATATCCAAAGAAATTCTAGGGAAACTTTTCAGATTAGAGAACACTGAAAACAGACTAAATACAATATGTGACTCTAGGTGTGAGATTCCAGAAAATCCCAGTAAGAAACTTTTCTAAGTCTAAACTTTCTAGGGGGATGGAGGTGGGGGGTAGGAATGGAGGTGAGGGTTTCTCCGAATGGTGCGCAGGAGGCCCTGGAGGCCCTTCTGGCAATTCCTGAACCACAGTAGGCAGTTTGGTGCTAGGGCCAGGGATGCAGTGCTGCAGGTTACTTGCGCCATCCTGCTAGTGCTCAGGGTTGCACCCACAGGTGCTTGGGAGGGCTGGGATCAAACTGCAGTCAGCCACATGCAAACCGTGGTCCTTAATCCCTGTTCTATCTATCCAGCCACAATTTGAAATTATATGTTATAAAATAAATAGGGAAGTTTTTTAAAAAAAAAAGAGCCCAAATCAGCATCAAATACTGCAGAAAGACCAATCACTTTAACATCACTGATTTGTTTGGTGCTACACCTGGTGGTGCAAGGCAAATGTCACACCCGCTAGGCTACAGCTCCAGCCCCTCATCCCTAAGGATTTTTATTCCATCATAAAAGCAGACACGAATCTGCACTGAAATAAAAGAAACTCTTAAAGGAAGGAATGTCTTAAAGAAAACATGTCAACATTTTCATAAACTTCTGATACAAATTAAAGAAAAAAAATGACACCCAGTGAGAGCAGAGAGGAATCACTGGGATTTCTTTGGTTTGGGGGGGGGGGGGGGAGAGGACATTAAAAGATCAAAGGATGTAAGGGAAAGGGAAATATAAGAAAAATCCAAAATTTCATAAAAAGGAAATGGTGTCCAAGAAAACCGAGAAAGTTCATGGGGAAGATTTTGTGCCTTTATACAAGGGTAAAATAATTAAGCATACCAACTGAATAAGACAAAAATTTCCATATACCATATATCTGACAAAGATAATAAACAAGATATAGAAATATATTAATAACTCACAAAACTAAACACAAAAAATCACAAACTTCATTATAAAACCAGGAGAAATGATGACCAGACACTTCTCCAAAGAATGGTCAGCAGGCATCTGAAAAAATTAATGATCCCTATTGATTATCGGAGAAAGGCAAAGGAAAACAGCAGTGAAGGCACTGCTCATACCATGAGAATGGTCGATATTACAAAGGCTAAAAACAGTGAACGCTGGTAGGCAGTGCAGGAAAAAGAAACCCTCATTCACTGCTGGGGGGAACAAAAACTGGTTAAGCACCTGTAAAAAACTTCTCAAAAACTGAAAACAGAACTACCACATGATCCAGTTGGAGCATTCCAAAGTATCTACACCAAGCACACAATAATTCAGAAAGAAACTATGCACACCACTGTTCACTGCAGTACTGGTTACAATAGCCAAGATCCAGAACAACCCAAGAGCCGTGAACGGAGAGAAGAGACAGGATACAGATAGACATATACAAACAGTGGAACGCTCCTCACTTGAAGGAGGATGAAACTCTGACATCTGCTATGTAAATAAAACTGGAGAGGGCTATAGGGAGCAAAACAAATCAGAAGGAAACAGATCCTGAATGATCTCGTTGATATGGGTTACATGAAGAACCAGTGGGAGGACAGGGATGGAGGGGGAGTGGCTGAAGGGTCCACAAGCCATACTAGCACTCTGGGGGTGGGTATACTGTAATACTAGATGTGTAAAAACTATAAATATTTACTCTTTTAAACAGATATTATCTCAAATAAAATACTCAAATATACAAAAGTTAAAATATTAGATAAACTACAGGAAACAATCACTAAAATATGGGCTGGAGCGATAGTACAGCAGGTAGGACGTTTTCCTTGCACGCAGCTGACCCAGGGTCAATCCCTGGAGTCCCCTGAGCACCACCAGAAGTAATTCCTGAATGCATAGTCAGGAGTAATCCCTGAGCACTGCCAGGTATAATCCAAAAAGAAAAAAAAATCTAAAATAGAATGAATATGCCATACAATTTTTGAGAACCTTTTCACTTGTATCACTTGTCATTTCATTGCTCATCTATTTGCTCGAGCGGGCGCCAGTAGCATCTCCATTTGTCCCTGTAGGGTACTAGTGTAGCCCAATGGTGTCTGCTCACTTGAGGAACATGAAAAGCATCAAACCGTTCATTCAGGGTCTTAACGAAGAAGTCCAACCATCTTGTGGGCGGGCATTCGGGCGTTCTTTTGATGTCCCGTTGAATCCAGTTGGTAATGGCTGTAAGTCCAGCATTTGTCTCCAAATCGCATTACGTGTCCGGCCCATCTGATTTTCGATACCTTGGCAAACGAGGCAGCGTCCCTGATACTTGATCATCGATGGAGATCGAAACTCCAGATTCTTCTCTCATGTGAGTGAAGTGTGATACTCCAAGCATAGTTCTTTTGATTTCTCTTTGGGAGACCCAAATAGCGTTCTTATCCATAGGGTACAGGTCTCTGAGACATATGTTAGTGCAGGAAGAAGGGTGGAGTTCCCCTCAATGGTTCACTGCCTCATCATGGCGGGGTGGCAACAGTGCCAACCAGTGAGAAGTGAACCAGCAGGTGCTGCCCAGAGACACAGGCAGGTGCCTGTTTGTCAGTGTGCATATCATTACAACATATCGGTCAAACAAAAGCTTATGCCAATCAACCAAAAGCTTGCATTCGGTAGACTGGGAGCACCTGTAAGGGCGATTGGAGGCTGCCTTAAAAGAATCTGTCCCTCTCGGAGAACCCAGCAAGCTGCCGAGGGTATCTTGCCCACATCGTAGAGCCTGGCAAGCTACTCGTAGTGTATTCGATATGCCAAAAACAGTACAAGAATGGGTCTCATTCCCCTGACCCTGAAAGAGCCCTCAATATGGCACCGTTAGGAAGGACCAGCAAGGCGAGGTTGATAAAATCTCGGGGCCGAACTAGGCTTCCAAAACGAAGGACTAAAATAACTGTACTTTCAACGCATGTACGCTGGCATCGGAAGCATTCATTGAAGACCTGATGGTGCAAACACAGAAGACCAAGTATGATGTTACTGGATTGACTG